CGGGGCGGGGGTCGGACGAGCTCTTCCGCTCACCCCGCGGAATAGGCGAAGCTCGCGGCGCGCGCCCGGTGGCGACGGCGTGACGCCACTTCCGCGGCGCGGTGCGTGGGCGGGGCGGGAGGCCGGAAGGTTCCAGAGGGGCCGTCGGAGCCGCTGCCGCCGGGGGGGCGCCGCACGCGACATGGCCGCAGCGCGCGAGGAGGTGAGCCGCGCCCCCCTCCCCCTCCCCCCTACCGCGGGGGGTTCTGACTGGAACCGGGGGCTAACGCCGCTTCGCGCCGGCGGAGGCCGCGGGCCAGGGCCCGGGCCCGGGCGCGGGCAAGGGGCAGTGGCCTGGCGGCCGTCCGGAGGCGTGGGGCCGGGGGGCGGCCGGGAGCCTTCAGCGAGCCTTCAGCCAGCCTTCAGCCTGAGCGCTTGCTGAGCGCTGTCGGTGTCTCTCCCTGAGGTGACGCTGTGCGCATTGAGCAGAATCCAGGACCTACCGAGGAGTTGTACCGGTTCCCCTTGGGGTTTTTTAGCTGATGAAAGTTTAAACTTTGAAATATTTACTGGTCGAGAAGCGAAAACAGGAGTGGCCACGGGGTGAGGAACAGATGGCTTCATGCTTAACGGGGTGTAGAGGGAAAGGAAACCACTGGCTTGATAAACCTGAAATTGCTACATCTGGGAAATTTGAAAGTGTCATAACTGAAAGAGCTCAGCTGTCAACCTTGAGTAGAAAGACCTATATCTAATACGTATGTGTGCTCTTTTATTTTTAACCAGTTACAGAAAGATTTGGAAGAGGTTAAAGAATTACTTACGAAAGCGACGAGGAAGCGACTTCGTGATGTCCTGATGACAGAGAAACATAAGCTAGAGCTAGAAATCAAGAATCAGCCTCCACCGAAGCCAAAAGATGCAGCAGAGGAAGAAAAGTCATCTTTGGGAGGGTATACAGTGAAAATAAACAATTATGGTAGGATTACTTTTCTGAACGCTTACTAGAGCTCCAGCACCTCTCTGAAGAGAAGGCAGGGTGGCATTAGTGGGAGTTACAGTTGCCACTTCACATTATAGAGAAGCCTTCTTAAGTGTTTATTTCATACTGGAGACCCCACTTTAAAAGCTACCACGTGCTTACTGTGCCATCCTAACTACAGTATGTATCAGTTCAGTTTGTGTGATAGTACTGGTGGGATGCATTAATGATCCCTGTTGTACCACCTAGTGTTTTTCCATTGCCTAGTGCTTAGCAGGAATGAAGGAGTGAGCTTTGGCTTCTCTGCTTTCCATGTAGGTGAAAGGAGAGGGAATTGCTCAAGATACTTGTCATGTGGGGAGCAGGGTAAAAAGTGGGTCAAGGAAACTGCAGCAAAAGCAGACAGCTACCTCTGACTCCCCCTGCACAGACAGGATTGCTTTCCTTTTACCTGAGCTGATACGTGTTTTTTTCTCGGAATTTGCAGGAATTAGGGAACAGGGCTACATGTGAGGACCTCCTTTTGCTCTCAAGTTGTTCCCAAGTAATTAATGTCTTTCCCTTACCCCTGTGAAGATTGTTTCAGTAAGGTACAGATCCTAGTCATTGCTAGGGAACTTTGCAGAGGCGGTTGGAATGGAATACATGAAGTTTATGGAGGAAAGGTAGGATTTAATCTCTTTTTTTCACTTGCAGGTTGGGATCAGTCAGATAAGTTTATTAAGATTTACATCTCTTTAAATGGAGTCCAGAAGCTTCCAGCTGAGAATGTGCAGGTGAATTTTACAGAGAGGTGAGTTCATCTTGTGGCACCATGCCACAGGGGAGAGCATGGATCAAGAACACTATTTGAATGTGTCGTGTTGAGGATCAGCCTGTATACCCCCCCCCGCCCCTTTTTTCTTTTTTTAAACTTGAGCAATATTAGCTTTTAGTAGCACTTAGCATATAACCTTAAGAATAGCTCTCCTTAGAGGGTATCGGGGTATTTTCATTTTACAAATGCTTGTTGCCCCTCATCATGCTTGACAGGACGTGTAGTGTTAGCCCTGTTTTTTGGTGGTGATAGAACTGAAGTGTACATTAAGTAAGTCCACTTTTCCAAGGTTGTGGGAGATCGGTAAGGTAGAAAGAACCCTAAAGATCTTGATTTGTTGTGAAGTCTGGACAGGTCCTTTTAAGTCCTCAGTATTAAATCCAACTGAAGATTTGAGACCCCTGAGAAGAAAGTAATATAAGCCTGTTAGCATGCTTTCCAAAAAAATACTTCCACTAAAAAAGGGCTTTCGGACATGTTTTTGGTGGCAAGGCACAATAGTCTTACAATGATTGGAATATTTGTGCCCTTCTTCCCCCACTTTCTGGTTCTAGGTCGTTCGATCTGCTAGTGAAGAATCTGAATGGGAAGAACTACACCATGACCTTCAACAACCTCCTGAAACCCATCTCTGTGGAAGGCAGCTCTAGAAAGGTCAGTACACCTCAGCTGTTCAAGGTATTTAGGTCCCTCGCAAAGTACCGTGTTCATTGCCTGACTCTAGTTCAAGAGACTTGGTGCTAACCTTCAGTCCCTCCCTTCTGTCTATAAAGTCTCTTCACTGTGAACATGATTCTTATTAATCTGTAATTGTCATAACTGTGGAATTATTCTCTGGGATCCATGGGCTCCTGTTTCAAAAGATCATGCCTGGATATTGTATGCTTTGTTTTTTAATAGCTCTCCAACAGGATTTCAGAAATAATTAAGCAGAAAATTCCACTAAGCATCTATTTGCATACTTGTGCTTTTAAATACCTCTGAGAAATTCTCTGTGATTTTAAGGTCTAAGAGACTTGTCAGCAGACTGAAATCTTGGGAAGCTTAAATAGGCTTAATACCCAAAGCAAAGTCTGAAACCTGCTCTGCCTTTGTAAGGGTGTGTTGCTCTGGAATTGAACACTAGTAACATTTTACTGCTGATGACTGCAACTGGTGATAGTGTCCTTACTGTGCTACTTGTAGCACCTTTCCGGGCTTAGGGATGTGTCAAATACCTTGTGTGTGTTCTGTGAAGTTGTGTGCTGTGCTTAGTGACATCAGATGTGAAGAAATGATGGTTCAATTTGAAATTGCCCTAAAACTAGGACAGTGTAAAATTAAAACAACTGAAATAAATGAGGGTGATGCTTTGGTGATTTTTTTAACGCAGTGTAAAAGCAAGCAGTGGTCACATACTTGGTAAGCTAAGCTAAAGCTCCTGCAGACTCTTGTCTGCTGTGGCATGCAGGAGTTCTGCGTGAAATTCAGGTCAGGGTTGCAATTAAGCAGGCTTTGCTTGTAACTTGCAAACGTATTGCAAGATTAAGTAATGGCCTAAAACTAGTTTCTTATCCTTGGAGAAATAAGTTGGGAGAGCCTCTGCCTGAACTTGGTATCCTTGGAGAAGTCTAGTAAATATAGCCACCCTTTACCAGACAGTTCTGGGTACTTCTAACATCCTGAGAATCACCAAATGGTGTTTCTGCAGCACTGTATGTTCTTCTGTACTTCTTAGTAGTGTACTAGTATCATAGTAATCACACCATTTAAATTGTCCACAATGAGGTTAATACTTTGTACCCCAAAGCTGAGTACGTACTATAATTTCTATATGCTACATAATAATCAATAGCCGAGATAAATGTTTCAGGTTTTTGTGAGCACAGAAAGAGGTTTGTGTTACAGCTAACCTTATTCATTGTGGTTGTGACTTGCATCACTTTATGAAGCATTCTAAATTCATGCCTTGCTATTCACCATACAGATAAAGACGGACATGGTCCTTGTGATGTGTAGGAAGAAGCGGGAGGAAAAATGGGAATGTCTCACTCAAGTGGAAAAAGAAAGCAAAGAGAAAGAGTAAGTGTCTCTTCAACCCTCCATCTTGTTTTCCATTTCTTGTTCTTCAGATTGCTTTAGGACTGCCAGGAGAGCAGATCTGTACTGTACTAACTGTGCAGTCAGACTGTGAGCATCGCGGTTGGGGACAAGCCCCCAAGATGTTTGAGAATCATTAGGCTGAGATTTTTTTGGTACTAGTAGGACTGGCAGTGGAGGAGATACATTTTGAGTAGCTGTTTGCCACTCTTCTACTGTTTTATTGCTAATGATGAAGGCTGCATCATAGGAAATAGGCTAGATAAGACCTGCAGTGAGAGTAAAGGTAATTAACCATTTAAAGATTCATATCTATTTTGATGGCTGCATTCATTGCAGAGACTGGTCTAGTGAGGTTGACTTTTTTCAGGTTAAGTATATATTACACTCTGCAGAACAGGTCTTTGCTTGCTTAGATCATCATGCAAAAAGTCTCAAGCTAATTTGTGTCACTTTGAGTGCTTGGGAGCAATCCTACAAGCATCTTAGGCACTGGATATATAAGGGTGCTAAATTACAGCAGGAAACACCTGGGGACAAAAGACTTTATATATATATATAAATAAAAGTAGTATATAATAATTTTATTTTATTTTACAACACATACGTTCTTATCCAGAAAAGAATGTGTATACCCACCTTGAAGCATGGAAACACTCACTTTTGAGAAAGTTATGCCTGCCAACAACTATTAATTTTGTGTATGTTTGGAGGATGATTTGCTAGAACTGATTAGTCCTAACTAACCATACCTGAGTTTAGAGCAAAAGTACCGTCCCCTCTCAAATGACATCACTGGAAATTGAGAAGGTGACTTGACTACTAATACACGTTGCTGGTGGGACACGGTCATTTTTTTAAACCTGTATCTTGTGCAGAGAAGCCCTGCATGCTGCCCAGCCTGTCACGATTAGTATTGCTGCCTTATTCCAAGTGTTGAGGATTTACAGTATGGCAAATGAGTCACTTCAGAAATACACCTCATGCTTGTGTGTGTGAGACGGGTGGTTAGCCCCGTGCCTGAGGAACTTGCTCCCTCTGCTGATCTGTTTTGATCTGCATGTTTTTTAGATACTAGTGCAGCTGCAGGCTAACTACCAAGAGGATTTTAGAAAACAGGATAGAGAGAGGCAATTTTGCCAGAGAGGGCATTATGTATAGTCTGGTAACATGGGGTGTGTCACACCCAGATGCTTCCCACGTGGATAGCACCTTTTGTCAGTGTCCTGGTTTCAGCTGGGATAGAGTTAGTTGTCTTCCTAGTAGCTGGTACAGTGCTATGTTTTTGAGTTAGGTGTGAGAAGAATGTTTGATAGCACTGACGTTTTCAGTTGTTGCTAAGTAATGTTTAGTCTAAAGTCAAGGATTTTTCAGCTTGTCATGCCCAGCCAGCAAGAAAGCTGGAGGGACGCAAGAAGTTGGGAGGGGACACAGCCAGGGCAGCTGACCCAAAGTGGCCAATGAGGAATTCCATACCATGTGATATCACATTTAGTATATAAACTGGGGGGAGTAGGGGCAGGGGGATCACCGCTCGGGGACTAACTGGGTGTCAGCTGGTGAGCAATTGCATCGTGCATCACACGCATATTCCAATCCTTTTATTATTACTGTTGCCATTTTATTAGTGTTACTATTATCATTATTAGTTTCTTCTGTTCTATTAAACTGTTCTTATCTCAACCCGAGTTTTACTTTTTTTTTTTTTTCCTGATTCCCTCCCTGATCTTACTGGGTGGGGGGAAGTGAGTGAGTGGCGGTGTGGTGCATAGTTGCTGGCTGGGGTTAAACCACAACAGTCGGTTAACTTAAATTGAGAAAATTGCTTTGAAATGCAAGGTGTTAAAAATGAGTCAATTAACCTCTGGAAATAATCTGAAAAATGAGAAACAGAAAATGCTGTTTGGGTTGTGAATGTGGCCACTTCCAAGAGTTCAGTGTAGTTGTTTTTCTATTTTTATTCACTTTTCATGTAACGGCACAGATACTAGCACTTTCTCTGTGTGTTATATCCTGTTCCTGCTTCCTGAAATTAATTTTGGGTGGTGCTTCAAAGGTCAGGTTTACTGCAGAATGCTTCCCATCATCCTTAGTGGGACAGCTCTAGGTATACTACTCAACTTGCACTTATTTTAAGGGTGCTCTTTAGGATTCTCCCTACTTGGAAGCTGACTGAGGTGTGACTGAAGACTGTCAGGGTCTGAAGACTTTGCCAAAGCAAAATCATCACTGTTACCAGGATGTTTCAAACAAATACTAGCATGTAATTTTTTGCACAGAATCACTGGATATACCTGATTTTCTCATATATATCTGTCTTGCAGGAAGGCTGCCTACGACACCTCAGATCCTAGTGAAGGGCTTATGAACCTTTTAAAAAAGATGTATGCAGAAGGGGATGATGAAATGAAGCGCACCATCAACAAGGCCTGGGTTGAAAGCAGAGAAAAGCAATCCAAAGGGGACATACCAATGGATATTTGAAAGTATTCTAAGGGCTGCCTTAATACTGATCTTCCATGTGAGACACGCTGTGCTGCAAAGATCATTGTTTACACAATCTTCTTCCAAGCAAAGACAGTCATTTTCCATTTCAGGTTGGAGAAAATATTTAAATAAAATAGCTTATAAAGCATTTCCTTCAGTCAAGTGGTTCACCATTTCCTGAAGAGTGGAGCATAGGTATATCCTTATTGCTCCTTGAAAAAGCATCTCAGATGAGTGGAGAGCATTGTGAAACTGAGAACAGGATGTAAAAGAAAATGAATCCTAAACTAGGATGGGTCAAGGCCTCTCCATTGCAAGTGACAGTTGTACCCATCTGGTTCTGGGGCTAATGTCATGCTCGCTGCATGGGGTATGGTTTTTTGATTAATGTGGGAAAGTATGTTGAACTGTAAAGCATGTCACAAAGGGAGAAATGCTGAAGAAAGTAGAACCACTGTCTCAAGCACTTGGTAGCTGAGCAGAAATAATATGGTGTTAATCCTGTGGTATTAAAATTTTGTGATTACTCTCAGAAATTAATTACTGGCTGTTTAACCTTTTATGAATTTTGAAAATGAAAACAGCTCTTTAGTGCTATTTGTGACCTCCTTGGGGTGTCCTTGAGGTGGCATCAGTTGCAGGAGGGCAGTGAGCTACTGATGGACAGCGAGTTTGTCCTGGCTCTAGCAGTGTATGAGGAAAAGAAAGACAAGTTCCACTTTCTCCTATCAACTTTAAAGGGTTTTAAGGTAACAGAGTAAGAAGTATATTAAGAGAGCTTACACTCCAAAATTTGACTCAACTTGGGGTGATAGGTTGCTGTCAATTTACTGCCTGTGTGGCTTCCATCTGGTGGTAGCACAGTTTTACTTGGCCTGTTCACTGCAGCCTCTCAGCCCCACTGCTATGGAAGGGGACGGAGTAGCCGTTTTCCCTTTACTGCCCTGCTTTGAAGAAGAGCACAGGGCAAACATGAGCTTAGCAGCAGGCTTGTTGTTACTATTTCCCTCCTGTTTCCTTCTCCTGTATTTCCCAAGGACAGATTTATTTGATGTTACCTTATGAATTAAGGAAGCTATTACTCTACTGTTACAGTCTCGACTAGGACTTACTTGCTACCTTGTTCTTAAAGCATTGGACCAAGAGCTGCAGTACAAGCAGGAGATAAATACTAGCATGTTGTAGTTTCTAATAGGTCCTTTATCCACTTTGTCTGCTTGTTAATATACATGTTAAGTCTGCATAGCAAGAGTATCTAAACTTGAGGCCATGTTTTATTTTTAGTTCATGCTCACCCTTGTTCATGGCAGAATACCACTTTGCCCTGTTGTGCAATTTCATTTATGCTTTTTACCCATATTACCATGGTGAACTTACCATACGGTGGCAAAAAAACTGCTTAAACGAGCCTTGTGCTGTATGTCTTTATTTCTAATGTTGCCCATATCACAAACCTCAGCTTAGTTCTGCAAGCATCAGGTAGTGAACATTTTCCCTCAGAATAAAACCACCTCACATACAGACCAGTTTAGTGGAGTTATGCTGCTTCTTGTCAGCTGATACCAATCACAATCCAGTAAGTAAGTTTAATGAATCAGCATGGCTTCTCATCCTTCCCTTAATAATTTGATACTGATGCTGGACTTCTAGACAGGACAGTCTTGCTTTAATTACTTGAACACACAAACTTAATCTGTTTGTGTTTTCTGCCTGGGTGTATATCCATGTGGTGATCTACCACATAGCCCTCTGTATCCCAGACATCTGAGCATGGTCAGCAAAATGGCGGAAAACAATTCTGCTGAGCCTCCAACGACGCTTCACCCCCCGAGGGCGGGATGTCAGGACACACCTATTTCGGATCCTCACAGGGCAGCTGTCCCGGGGCAAGTCAGCGATCTCTTTATCAGCCACTTCCTAAAACAGAAGACCACAGCATAGAGTTTATCTGTGTTCCCCAGGATTTTGAGGAAGCTTATTGCCAGACCTCAAAAACCTAGCTGTAGAGTAGGTACCACCACAAGCTTCTCTACCACCTCACAAGTATGCTTTGCTATTTGATAGGGAACTTGCGCCTGTCTTTCTCATTTGACCCTTTCTTTCTGGGCATCCTAACAGTGAATGTAAAACAATCCACATGAGACCCGAAGTTAACCTTATTACAGACTTAACAACCTCAAGCCAGTAATTATAGTTAGTCAAAATCCACTTGGCTTTGTCTTTGTTGCAGGGTGGGCTAGTCCTTTAAGATGAGCTGAACTTAAATCTATGTTCCTTATTAACTGCCTTCCCAGGTAATATGCTTTGAATGTCAGTAAAAGGAATCTCATGTAGTACACTTTGGAAGGAGCTACAGGCAGACGAGGACAAGTCAAAGTGTCTCTGTTCTAATGAGAAGGCTTAAGAAATCTCTTTTCTATGTGCAAGAGAGCTCAACAGTTTTCAGGAAGCACCAGGTAGCAGCAAATGGAATTTCAGAAGAACAAGTGAGCTCAGCAGGGAAATACAGCCTAAAGGAGGTCACTTGAGACTAGGTCAGCATCCCTAACTGCAGCATTCTTAATATATTATGTTCTAAAGGACAGAAGGGCTCAAAGGAATCCTGTGTTCAGTCATGGTAGGAAGTCACAGTTGGAGGTAAAAGGAAGGTCTGAGGCTGGACTACAAAAACTCCCATTATGCTTCCGGAATGCTGAAAAGCAATAATGTAAGGCTATCTTCTAAAGGGATGTTCGCTTTCAAAGGAAGACAGCATCAAGGGAGCAGCAATGTGACTTTCAACTTCAGTAACAGCAAGGTCAGTAGGACTTCCTATCTTCAGAACATATTTCAGTTACCCGGTTTGTCCAGTCACACATCTGTGTATATAGCTCTACCTATACACTCTACCTAGCACAGCCAAACACTTAGTATTTTTTTTACCTATTTTATTCATAAAGTAGCCTATGCTTTCAGAGAAAACTCATAACTTACTTTTTAAGACTTTAAATTTGGAGCCCAAGTAAGATTTTGTAGGGGAGGAAAAAGTTACTTTCCTGGAGTCTTTTTCTTCATTCTAACTGCTGCTATAATTTAGTGACTTCAAAAGGTGACAAAAGCAGCTGAGGAATACCAAAAGCAAAGCAAGTTGCAATCTTTTTTTGTTTTTGTTCTGTAAGGACATCCAACACAAACTAGACTTGCCAAGAGAATGGTAAAGTTAATATATAAAAGCAGATTCATACACTTTCTCTCCCAGGATGTGTAAGTGTGAAAGGATCTCGCCACAACTAGCCATGGCCAGATCAAATACATACAGGAGTATTTGCAAATGTTTTTAATGCTTAGTAAGGAAGGCTGAGAGCAGGGCAGTGAATATGTGCATTTTTAAGAACAGATCTAACACCCGGATCCGATGCAGCTTTTACATGCTTGTAGGTCAGGCAAGGAGTAAAATTAAGTATTTCCCATTGAACAAACCAGTGGTTTTGGCTGGATCAGGCTTCCAGGTTTTTAAATAAGCAAAAAAATCTAAAGTTTATTTAGGAAACTATAAAATTAACCATGTAGTATCCCATATTATCAGAAATAAGGAAACTAGCTTTCTAAATGTATGTTAGTGACAGCTGTAGGGAAAAAAATGAGACTTCATCATATGTAGTGTTACATATAGTGCTTACATGAGAAGCCCTATTTTAAAAAAAACCTCACAACCCAACCCACACAGCTTCTAGTCAGGCGAATACGCTGTTGTTGTGAACACCCCCAAAGGCCAGAGGCTCTGAAGGCGCCCGGGCGCTCGTGGTGACTATGCGATATGATGTGATTCTGTGCTCCTGAGTTAGGAAAACGCAAGCATTTGTGACCTGGCGTGGCTGCTTGGATCTCTCAAGCGGCCACTGTGGCCCAGCAGTAGGAGGCACGCGTGGACTCGTGCCCTGCCCAGGCTGGGGCACAGCTGCAGGGCAGCCGCCCGGTACCTGCAGCTCCTTGGGAAGGATGGTGTTCTTCCGGATGGCGTTGATCCGCAGCCTCTCGTCTGCATACTCGTACGCCAGCTTCCTTCTCTTGACATCCCGCAGCATCCTCCAGTCCACATAGTAACTCCGCACTTGCGTTGTGCAGGGTGAGGGGAGAACCTAATTTAAAAAATTAGGTTTATAATACCCACCTGTTGCACATACAGTCTGCCCAACTCAAGAATGACTTATTCCCATAAAGGTCTCTTTTGTCAGACTTTTTCAAATTACTTCCTCGCAGTGCAGCTCCTGCCCAAGAAATGTAACGTATGATCCAGCTTAGCTCAGGGAAGCCAGCAAGGAATTTGCGATACGGCAGACACCAATAACCGAAGGTACACCCGCACCCGCGTTGTTCCCGCCGCCGGCGAACCCCGGGGCTCAAGCCAAGTCTGGGCTGACGCGGGGCCGAGCCCGCCACCACCGCCCCCAGCGGCCTGATAAGCCCCGCAGCCCCCTCGCCGATCCCCGCCCGCTCCCCGGCGCCTCTGGCCGGGCGGGACAGGGCCCCGAAAGGGAAGCGGGGAGGGAGCCGCGCTGACCTGCCGAGCGGCCCGCAGCGCCCAGCCTATCGCGGAGGCCGCCATCTTCTCAGTGCGACGCGACCGCGCATGCGCTTAGGCCCGGGGCGGGGTCCCGGGCTCTCGGAGCGTCCCCCTTCGTGGGACCGCCGGTTCGCGTCCCGGTCCCGGTCTCCACCACGCCGGCCAGGTCTTCGCTCTCCCCATCCGTCCTTTTGCAGTGAAACTGTACTTCAGTGCCTTGCGGGGGAGAACCCAGACTGGTTTAGAGGGCTGTGCTGTATATCCCGGTGTCGGTGTCAGCCTCGGTCGCACCATCCGTCATTAGAGGGAGCTGGCAACTTCCACAGAAACCTCAGGATCCGACTTTGGGTGGACCAAAAGGATCCTAGTTGGGGAGGAAAGTCTGTAAAAATGACAGGGAAAAGAGTCCCACCAAGAAAATGCGATGCAGAGACATCACACCACGTTGTGGGGTCTCTGTCCAGAAAAGCACGTTTGTCCTGTATGCACGTCGTCACTCTGTACTAGATTACCTGCCAGCTGCTTTCTAAACGTGGTTTTAGTTTTGTGTCTTAAGAGTTTCTTGGTCGGCTTCCTCATCGCCTAGGACTATTCCTAAATTTATATCAGCGTTTTGCATATTTTTCAACTCATGAATTTTGGATAAGTTACAGAATTTTACAGACAAAATTGAATAATCATAAACCTGAACACTGAAAAATATATGGGAAATTCTGCTTCTGTTGTTCTTAGCTGCCCTGTTGTTTGGTGAGAGAAACTGTCCTGTTCTACTGACTGGGACTTTGCTTACACAGTGTTTACAATAAGTCTATGTCCTGATTTCAGGGAGAACATCTATTAAGTGTTTGATGTTGAATTAACCATTTTGATTGAATTTTCCATTCATATCAGCTTGTTAGCTACATCCAAAAAGTCATGCAAGAAGCTGGATTCTCTCTCAGTTTGTCATGCTGCTTGTTGTCTGTGTGCCAGGCATTTTACTTAGATGCCTAGTATATTATACTGGTCCTTGAGGTATGTGGGTGTAATCTGGAAGAAGCGGCCAGATTGGCAGGCTAATGCGGTCAAGTTTTATTATCCATGCTGCAGTCAGCAGCAACAGCTTCCACAGCAACTTACCCATCTAGGCTGATTGTGCAGGTGATGGTAATCAGTGGAAAGAGGCCATTTTTAGTGCTGATGAAGTGGTTAATTCTCCCCAGCCTGTTCAGTTTCTGGTTGCCTTGCCAACCCAGGTGTTAACTACCCTGATGGTTTTTGTCCTGTGGATGTGACAAGCTGAAACCGCTAGTACCTGTTACATAGAGCATTAAACTGGGATAGAGGGATAGCTATTTTCACTTCTCCTTGCTTTAGATGGGTCTCATGAGTGACAGAGAGGTGAGACGCTTGTCACCGGCCTCATTTCCCAACTCTATGCTCCCTTCATACTCGGAGAAGCTGAAAGGCTGCTCTTAAACTTGTGCGAGGGTCTGTCTGTGGAGGGAAACTGCAGCAGCAGAAAGGGCTCAGCCTGCACAGCCTATGGGCTGCAACCCTTCTGTGAGCATCCAGTTCAAAACCCAGGCTGTTTGTGACTGTGCTTCCTGGTGATGTGGTGTACTGATGCGTAACTGGCTTGGAAGTAGGTTTCTGGTGTCTGCAGGGAGACAGAATTTCAAGCTTTGTTCCCTGATATTATTGTCTATAACTTGCTATTTTTTCAGCTTGCCAGCTGGTAAAAGCAATCTGTAGAATATCAGCAGAGCAAATAAAGTAGGGAGCTGGATGTGATCGAAGGGGATTTGAATGTTAGAGCACACATATGTTTCTACAGTATTTTGTTCCACTTCCCCTTGGTCTCTCTGTGTTTGTTAGATGGTCCAGATGGGCGAGGAACCAGTGAGTGTGGGAAGGGGAACTATTTCTCCAGCCAGGGCTGAATCCCTCCCTTGCTCAATAGCATCACCTGTGTAATCAGCACTCTTCCAGCTGTGGAGGTGGGACAGTGTGTGTTGTCTTGCAGCACTATCTTTCCCTTTCTGTAACAGGGTTGCCAAGGACAGCGTGTTTGGTGCTTACAGCTTTAAAAAATACAAACTAAGTGAGAAAGCGTGGAGCCCCAGTGTAAGTTAGTGGTATTTGTAGTGTTCAGTGTGGTAAGCATGCTATATTTGACTTCACTCCCCGGTTGCAGCGACTGAGATTGGCAAGGGCTAATGATGCATGTTGATAGCCCTTAGGCTGCTGCTGTCTTCAGCTCCCTCAGCACAGCTTCTGGTTGCAGTAAAGCAAAGCAACTGGTCAGAATCTGAGACGTTTTCTTAGCTAAAAACTGGGCTCAGTAATGCACGTGGTTAAAATAATCATATGGGTACCTTAACAATGCCTACAACATGTAATTTGCTTTAAGTTCTCAAGGGCAGCATTGTGTTTAACTACTGCTGGTTTTGAAAGGTGTTTTATTTTTACTTTCTGCGTTACTCCACCTGAATTTCACATTATTGATACTACAAATGTGCTTGTCAATACATGGGTCTCAGTGATAATTTTGGGATGTTTGCTGCCAGATTTACAGTGTTGGAAAGACTTTCTGGCTTTTGACTAGAAGCAGAGCATAAAATGAATCGGACATCATTCTTTCTGCTGGCGTGCAAGGCTGATACTGAGTAAGGGAATCGCTCCCAAACCAAGTGTGCTCCTTAGGTGGTTTGAGGGAGGGAAACACCCCGAGGCCTCTATTGGTTCCTTTCATCTGGCCCAAGGGACTTAAATTCACTGTAGGGACTGCTGCTGTCTTGCAGCTAGAGTGGGAAGAAGAGAGGATTTGGTGACCTTTCAGCTTGCTCAAATTACCTTTGCAAGTGGTGGCTGCACCAGAAGGGCTCTGAACCAGGCAGCTGAAAGTACTTGAAAGGTAAGAGAAAAGTATTTTTACTTCCTTTGAGGTTCCTGTTGTTTGTTCTGAATGAAAAACCCAGCCAATTTTTCTCTGACTTCCTATAGCAGATACCCTCTAAGGCTTTAAAAGCCTTACACAAACATCAATAATCCTGTATTATGGGCATGCATTGTTATTGCAAAGCATATAGTAGTATTCAACGTCACTCTGTTTTGAAAGGCTTAAGCTTTCCTGTTGTCTCCTCCAACCATATGAAACCACATACCTACCACAGTAAATGGGAGTTTTGCCTTTGGATTTAGTGGAGCTAGGGTTTAACCTAGAAGGTAATTATTTTAGAATGCTTGTTCCTAGTAATTTCCATTTTAGGCTCTGATTTCTGTGTGACAACAGTTGTTTTAAAAGCCCTTCCTTTTGTCATGAGATCATACTGGAATTCGATCACACATCTTATAATTGCAACAAACACTCTCAGTAATTGTTCAGTACTTTCTCATCCAAAAACTCTTCCTATGCCTTCTAGTGCACCTTTTCACAGACTCAATGGTAGAAGCCAGTAGAAGTTCTTTACCATATAAAATATATCACTATTTTCACAATAAAAGTACTTTATCGATTATACTGTTTATAATAAAAATGTCATCCATTGCATAAGTAGAGTTGATCAAATACAGGAAGTGCAAAATTTTTGAGCTGTGCAGGCAACAGAACAAAGATTTGCTTCAGGAAAGACTGACTTAAAATGGAAGTTAATGATTTAACAGAAGGGAGCTAGGTCATTTGTTACAAAATGCATATTTATACTAACTAGCAAATGTGCAAATATATTAAGCCTCTCTGCACTTTCTAATGAGTGTGTAGGATTTCAGAAGCAATCTCTCATTCACATATGAATAGTTAATACACCTTGCTTACCAGACATTGCAGAAGAATTAGCATGAAAGGAAAGGTAAATATAAGGATGAATCTCAAAGCACTGTATCTACCTGGCTGATTATAATTCTGTTTTTCTATTTGTTATTTCAAGTCATCCCAAACTTCTGTAGCATTAGGTAAGTTTCATTCAGTCTGGAAGTAAAAAAACGTAGATGCTTGCAAAAGAAACAACCTTGCTAAATTAATCGTTGCATTTTTTTTATTGGCAGTCATTGGTTGCATTAATTGCATAAAGACTGCATAATATTGAAAACAGAATGCTGGCTAGCTTATTACAGCAGTTGCATCAAATGACTTCTGTGACAAATACCAGAGAAAAGAAAGTCTGATGCAGAGCTTTCTAAAGCAGATGAGATTTGGTACAGTAGAATAGTTTCACCACAAAAAATAAAGACAAACAATCCAGCTGGTTAAACTAAATTATACTTATGGAAAGTCTGTAAAATTAGTAGCTTGTCTCAGCTGAATGCTTAACCGAGAAAAATACGTAAAGCAGAAGGAAAATGGGCTAGACTTCTTAGCATCTGAGTAGTATCATCATTTGTGCATGTTTTGATGCTCCTTCCATTTTTGTCAGACTGCCACCAAATAGTAGCCCTCAATGACTGAGTTCTGCTCTTTGGTGCTGCTGACTTGTGGTGTTCTTTATTGCTAAAAGTGTTGCAAGATGTAAGGAGCGTGACTGTATTCCAGCTTACTTGGAGATGAGCTGGTTTATCAGCTTCTGTGCTGCTACATCTGCTTCTGTATCTGAGAACACAGCTTTGCCATGTGCCTCTGCAGGTGCGTTTGCTTCTCTCCACAGGCTGCTGCTACACACTCCCCTGCTGCTACATTGCCATCTCCATGCTTTAAGCAGTATAGCATTCTACAGTGAACATCCATTTGCGGGCAGAGTGCATGATAAATATAGATCACTGATAATGCTTGTGTCTCCTGAGCCTAAATGCTACCTTCCTAGTATTGGTCAGACAGGTCTGTTGCTGCTCTTCTTGGGAGTTAATTGAAGTAAGTGATGGCTGTTTGGATATCAGCAGAGCCCTTCTGTGAACTTCCCAAGAACTTTCTGACATGTCTTCCAATATTTGTTATTCCTTTTATGTTCCTCAAGAAATCTCCCCTAGCTTTAAGATGGCTAAATGTGCCGATTTTCTAACTTGGCAGTTAGGAAACTGCCAGCTCTCATTTCTCTAGTACTGTGGTACAACTTGGCAGCTTCTGTTCTAGCCCTAGTGTTGAAAATGCTGCGCTCAAAAAAATCGCACAGTCTACTCTCCCTTGGTACTTAGAAAGCTCAGGTTTCAGCCCATGGCTCCTTTCACTGTGTGTCCTTCTGGCTATTTGTCTTAAACTGTAATGTGTGTTGCTTCTACTGTTGCGTTGTATAACTCTTGCTGCTTGCATATGTACATAGTCTACTCTGCCCCATTTCTCAATCTTTGATCTTATAATTCTTCCTTCCTCTTCTGCAACCTGTCTGGAGCTGTCCTAGACCTGCTTTTCCTTTTTCCTGTGACTTCAAGTCCCCCTTCCTCTCCTCAATCCCATCTCCATGTTGCCTGGGTGGCACCCTGCTAAGTATCTACATCTGTGTCTTTATCAGCTCTTGCCTTGACAGAAGCAGCTTCCAGTCATGCATCTCCTATGGCTGATGGGGTGCTAGCAGAAGATAATACTGTGAAGGCCTATACCCCAAATCTTCAAACACTGAGCTGTAGGATGGAAAAAGAATTACAGAGTTAGATCATTGGAGTCTTTCACATAAATACTGTAGGTTATCTCCAGCTTTGATCATCCCATGCTTTCCTCTGCAAAGGTTGGAAAGATGTGAGCAGGGCTTCTTCCATCCCTTTCCTTAGGAGAATATTCTGTTCTAGTAGATCTAACTGTTAGGCATTCTTTCCTAAAATAGTCCTTGCCCTAGTCTGCTATTATTGCCAGTTATATGTATGACATGATATTCTCCATGAAGAATCAGTTAAACCCACTCTTTTTAACAGCAGGGGAAAATCTCTTTATTACATGATGAGGAAGCCAAAAAAGCTGTCCTCTTTCATTATGCTTGACAGAAATGCTTACATTCAGGAGTTTTTCCTCCTGAATGATCTCTAAGACCAGGAAAATCTGAGATCAGTTTGTGGTTCCCACGAAGCCCTAATTAGTAATGACATCATGTTACAACCCAGAATGCTATTCAGCACTTGGTGCTGAGCAAAGAGATTTTGTGCATGTGTCTATTTGGGATGGTGGGGTGGTTTGGGGGACTCATCTCCAGGGGTTTGGAAATAAACCCCACAAAACAAAGTTTTTGGGGTTTCCTGCAATGGACTATGATGAGAATCCGTAGAATTTGGACGTTAAATTTGTTCAGAGCTTTGAAGCAATCTCTTATGATTTGATTTGTTTCAGAAGTTTGCAAAGCAGAAGAAGAAGAAAGGTATAGTTAGTTTCTGTGGCCCTTTGAGAGAGAGGAGTCTTGGGAAACAGAATAGCAGTTGGGTCAGGGTGAGAAAGCTGCATCTTTGGTCACAAATGGGTATCTGCAAAACCTCAGGAGATAGAGATAGGGAAGAAGCCCTGCCTCTGCAGAGCCACATACTTTCCCCCCCTCCATTTCTCTTACTGTAAGTTAAATGTGAATTATCTCTTCATGTAAATGTTAAATGTAGATAAGTGCTGAATGGAGGGGAAAAAACACCCACAATGAAACAAATTGCTACTTGGGAATAAGCAGCAGAGATAATTCCCTTATTTTATTTTATTCATATAAGATAAAGAATTGTAGACTGAATCTTGAAATCTATACCGTATTTTGGTTGAGGTCAGTGATGATTTTGCTTGAAGAAAGATGCATTAGTGGCCTGCAATATAGGTATAAGCAGGTATAATATGTATTTCCAATGGTGGTGGCTTTTTGTTTGGTTTTTAGCAAACAAAGCTTCATGTTTCTGAGGATGAAGGACACCTTCCTGTAGCTGTGCTGCCAATGGTAGGGCACGAATCTAATGGCAGGGATATTTCCAAAGTTTTGGCAGACATTTAGGAGATATAAGGATGCTTCACAGAAACAGTTAAATTTCATCATAGCTCAGGATTGTATGACTTTCAGAAATGTGATTATAAGGGACATAGCTGAGGAGATGAAAACTTAGTATGATTCTTCAGGAGTGGAGTCCTCTGTTACTTCAGAGAGTATTACCTGGGCCAGCACTGAGTTCAGATGTGCTGTCTCTATGGATACATATTGACCAAATGCTTTCTAGTTATCGCATTACCTAATTTAGCACTTAAATAATGTTTTTTTCTTCTGCTTATGCAATGAATAACACGAGTGCTTAGTAAGTCGCATATGGTGGCATTTTGTATTTGCATCCTGTGATATGAAATTCTAAGTATTTAACCAAGTATGTATCACCTCCTGTACAGATTGACACCTACCATTAATGCCAAAATTTAGTTTGTAACATTGAATAAGTCAACTGATAAATTTAGGTTTCTAACTTTACATTTTATCCTTCCACCCATGTTTGCTCTGTTCCTTCCTGTTATTCTTGTCTTGTGAGGTGTTCATTTCTTCAGTCCAAAATTGTTGCTTAGTTGACAGCACAAAATTTTTACAGTGAACAGTTTTGTTTCTGTTAAAGACTTTACCTGAAGACTTTAAACTAAATGTTTCGACTTCAGTTTTGACCTCTAAATGTCAATGCAGTTAAACAGTAATATTTTATTTATTTATTTTTAAGTCTTCGTTTTGAGACTTAATCACCCTGAAATCAAGCTCTTCCTATTTATTTATGCGGGGTAGGAAAGAAGGAATGTTTTTGAAATAAAAGTACAGGAAAACAAATGGGTTTACAACACATCCTCTCACTCCATGTGTTAACAGATTTGCTCTAGTAGCTTCTAAATGAACCTTGCCAATGCTGAGATAACAAATCAGATAACTGAGTCAAAGCAAAATAAACTTGAAATCCCTCAAGTGAATCCAGTGTTCAGGCACACAAAATGCCAAAGTACTGGTTTCAAATGGAGGAAATATTTTAATTCTCCCCAATTCAGATAACAGTGTAGGCTATGCGCTACATCAGAAGACAACGATGGGTTTAATTTTATGTATCATTTGAGTCCAGTGGCAAAACCCTGGTAATTTAAATCTGAAGGGCCTTCTTGAAGTGGTGGACTAAATCAGAAATAATCAACATGAGACCTTGAAGACAGATGGTTCAGCTCTGTCGGGACAGTTGTACCCAAAGTGAGGGTTTTGTGAGATGTAATTAACAGCCCATGTGAAGCCCGGTGAGAATCTCAGTCCTGCCTCTACAGAGCAGATGTCTTCAGCTCTGCAGAAACTCGGTTCCCCTCCTCTATGTCCAGCAGGCAGAGATGGGGACTCTAAGGCTGGGACTGACATTTGGTCAGGTCAGCACATGAGGTGCATTTACAGAACCATGGGCTGTGAGTGATGGGAGAAGGAAAGGGATGCTTAACAATGTGCTGCAGAAGGGTATGAGTTGTTTTCCAGCTCTATGCAGACATGTCTATTCCATCCCAGTGACACCTGTTCTGTGGTCCAGCTGATCTCCTTCCTTGAGAAAGTGTTCTATGCTTATATTCCCTGTACAAACTGACTTTTGGCATCCCCTTCAACACCTTTCTGAAAACATTTCTACCCATGCCTGAAATGTAGCTGTCCTGGGAAAGATATCTCATGGCATGATACATGTAAAGTGAGCAAAACTATCTTCCAAACATCTTGTACCAAAAGATGAATGTCAGGTCTCTGAATTTTTCATGCACACAGCATCAGCACAGTTACCAAGCTTCTAGTTGAAAACCATGCAAGCTGCTGGAGATTACTATAGCCAAAAAGATGATCAATAATCCAGATCACAGCTGGGAGACTTATACAATGTCTACTGTAACTGCAGGGGAATGAGGATTGCTATGGCATAATTAATAATTGCAATGGACCATGATACTAAGTCTCACTTGAAAGATGCAAATTTTAAACTCCTAGACTGGCAGTCTAGAAGCTCTTTTGTATCCAACTCATCCAGTGTGACTCTTCCAGGTACTGACCAACCTAGTACTGAATCAAGGCTAAACAGAATTTGGCTTTTACAAAATCATGTAAACCAGCTTTACGATCACACTTCTTATATTTTTCCTCTTCTTGAAAGCAGCCGTGCTGTTTGAGGGGTCAGTGCTGCCTCTGAAAGCCTACCAGATGGATTTCTTGAGGTGGCTTGCTTTCCCAATGGGAGTATTGCTGTGCTGTGCTCTTCAGACATCTGCTGTTCAACAACCTGCATCTCACAACTGCACCAGCAATGGTCAAAGAATATCCTTCAGCCACTCCTACAAGATTGACCTGCCCATGTCCTCTCAGATTAAGGTGGAAGCAGATCCGTTACAGCATGAAGACAACAGCAGGGTGCAGCTAGATCCTGGCAAGGCTGTGGAAAACGAAGAGCAGAATATAATCTTTAGGCACAACATCCATGTGCATGCACCCAAAGGGGACTGCGAAACTTTGACCCACATTAAGGGTCTGTTTGAAAGGATAGAGAAGCTTGAGAAAGAAGTGGCAGAGCTGAGAGAAGTTTGCAGCCCTCAGAAATGTTGTGGGGGAAGCCAAGGTAAGTAACAGTTGTTCTTACATCCCAGACACAGCCTATTTACTGCAGAGATTTGGGGACTGGAATCCATTTGTCAAGGTTATGGGGGTTCTCCGCAAGTGAATTGCTTGAGTCCTATGGATGGGATGGTGCTCTGGTTTCTGTGATGTGAAAGGAAATCTGAAGGTCCCAGAATGCGGTAGTACATACCATTTCTGGTACCAGCACAGGGGAAATCTCCCCAGGTGTCTCCCAGAAGTGGAAGGGAACAGTTCCTGAGTTTAACATAGGTGGAAGGATTCAGTGGAGGAATTTCTGTGGGAGGGTGGGAGATGGGGGAGGCACTTCTTGGTCCTGTCTTTTCCTTTCTCATTTTTCCCTCCAGAATTTTTGCAGTTGTTGAGAATTTGTCTTTTTATTTCCTCCTTGATAACTGACTAAAGAGCAGAGTTTATGATGATGATGTTTTCTGGTGGCCACTGGCCTTGCAGGTGATGAAAGTTTTACGCTGCATGGCCTCTAAGAAAAGATTTAACAAACTGATGTTGTTTGGGGAATGGAGACAGGAAGAAGTGCTGTCTTTGCTTACATGAAAAATACAGGTGTATAGCAGATGAGAATAATGTGCTCTCCATCTTTATAACAACTGTGGTGAGAAATGGTGAGCTTAAATTACAGCCAAGAAGATTCAGGTTAGAGTCTGTGAAAAGTTTTCTAATTGACTCTTTGGGATGGTCATGGAATCTGCATTCCTGCTGACTACAGTCAAATGTGTTGCGAAAGCCAAGGGTAGAGCTGGTCCTTCCTTGGACCTGGGGCAGATGGACAAGGTGATGTCTTCAGGTCTTTTTCAGCCCATATTTTCCAGTGATATTTATGCTTTCCTTTAATGACCTTGAACACACCTTTGCACTATCTGTCCGTTGCTATGTTCCTAATTTTTTCTTTCTTTTTTTATTTTGTCTCATCTGTGTGTCACACTTGCTGCTATGTATCCTGGTACTGCTCTGACCAGGTATCTCGCATTGCAGCGGCCATGGGACTTTCCTCTATGAGACTTGCAGCTGTAAGTGTGCCGAGGGCTGGGAGGGCAGTGACTGCTCCCACCCCACCTGCCCCAGCCACTGCAGCGGCCATGGGCGCTGTGACAGCGGGAAGTGTATCTGTGATGAACCTTACTTTGGTGAGGACTGCAGCCACCAGCTCTGTCCTGAGAACTGCAGCGGCAATGGGATCTGTGACACAGCCAAAGGGGTCTGCCAGTGCTACGAGGAGTTCATCGGAGAGGACTGCAGTGAGAAACGATGTCCCGAGGACTGCAGTGGCAATGGGTTCTGTGACACAGGAGAGTGCTACTGCCACGATGGCTTCTTTGGCCTTGACTGTTCCCAGGGTAAGATATGCCTGGGAGTTATTTCTCCCTTCTTTCTTTCAATCTGAGTTTCCCTCTCTACCTCCCATAAACATTTGGTTAATCCTGTAGGTAAGTGAAGCCTGGGGTCACCATGTTCCTCTCAGAATTCCTGCTGGGCTAGGGGTTGCTGACTGGTCCTTGTCTTCAAGAATTGCCTGGAAAACATTTCTGAGTTGGGGAAAGGTGGAAACACACTTAAAGGTAGTGTTAGTACAAGCCTGTGTGTAACAGCTGAAGGAGAGAGCAAAACTGAGTATGGAGCCACAGTCTGTTTCTTGACATATAAATGAGACAATAGAAGGTAAAAGCATGTTTGCTGCAGTGTGCACTGCTTGTGGATAAGGTAGTTGATTTGATAAAAACTGTGAGACAAAGGATGCATAAATCCTTTCAATAACCTCCCTTTGAAGTGAGGTCTTTGGGAAATTCTCCCTTATCCTGCTTTGTTACAAGGCGCTATGATTTGCCTGAAGACCTGACTGAGCTGATCTTGAGGTGTGTGTCCAGCAGTTTCTGCTTAATTCTGAGAAACCTATAACCACATGTTGATACTCTAGGCTTCAGCACTCAGCCTTTTACCCTGGAAGCTGCCTTTCCTTCTCAGCACATCACTCTTGGTCTAATCTTTCATGGTTCCTCATGAAGGAGAACTAGGTAACAGTCACACACCAAGCACCAGGTATTGCTCAGTAAGGGTTTGCAGTGACTCTACTCACAGGTCTTTTCTGCTCTGGATCATCCCTCACATCTCAGGCTTGATCTATCTGCTTAGAGGCTCACCTTTTATTTAGTAGATTATTTGCTCAAATTCTTCATCCAAACAAGAGCTCTCTGTCAAAACTTCACTTTTCCTACCCCTTCCACGCTATCCAGAGATGTTTCTGTGGCTCCAGCACTCTTCTGTCAGTAGACTGGGATTTGCTGCTCAGGAGGCAGCACCTTTACAGGTGGCAAGCAGAAGAGTTTCTCCCAGAGCAGAAACAATTCTCCCAGAGAACTGTTGCCCAGCCAGCCTCGGATCCTCTTCCTTTACACAACACCTGCAGCTCTTTTACAGGCTGTGAAAGTGGTCTCTGTTCTCTGAGTGAGCAAGCACTGCAGAGTTAATGCATATAGCACAATCCATTTTGCTACTGTTTCTGAGCGCTACACCTCCACCTCTGCTTAAGAACTTTAAGTCCAAAGGCAAATGGTTCCCATCTCAGCATCTGTAGCCAAGCACTCCTCTCCCATAGATGTCAAATTGCCTTTTCTGTTCCAATTTGGGTTAGATTTCTGCATCCTAGGAGATTTACACTGAGCACTGTTTTTATTTATTTATCATTATTATGTTCTTTTTTTATGTAACTCAGATCATGAAATGACATATTTTGTTGTATATTGCCATAGTAACTGGAATGTCTGAATATCTAGAAGTTACTATCAGACATGCAACAGTATAATTAATGTCTTGCAATTCCTCCTGAAGGAGAAATAGAGGACAAAGACACACTGAACAGCAGATATTGGCCTGTGCTCTTTCTGGACTTTGTTTACTGGCACTTCAAAATAGCACTGTGGGGTATCTGAAGATTAATAAACCAGCAGTTTAAAACAAAATTATCCACAAAACCAGTTTTTTGGTATCTCAGCACAATATTCATTTAACCAGGAAGTCTTTGTGTTGATGCTGTACTCAGGATATTGGAACAGAAAATAAAGAGGGGCTCTTTGCTGTTCCCAGGGGAGCCAGGGCTCCCAACAAGCCCCCGTGTGAGCTCTTGGCCCAGCGCTGGATCTATACATGTGCTGCTCGTTTCCTGCTTCCTGAGGAGAAGCTGCCTGATGGAGAGAGATTGACGAGAGCAAGCGGAACACAAGATGGACTCTGGCACGGCCCACAACCACCCATCCTCCTAATTCACCTCGGCAATTAGTGCTGTGCCTGTGATGAACCGTTTTGCTTCAGGCTACGAGGTCCTCTGCTGTTGGAGCACAAGAGGAGGAGGTTTTCAAGGGTTACCAAGTCCAGGCAGTGCCTCCTTCCCCTTCACACCCCCGGCTCTGACCAGGAGCATTTCTGTCAAGTCCTGAAGTGCTTGGGTTTGTCATGTAGGCTGGAGAAGGTGGCTCTGGTGCATCTCAGGGCAGAGGAAAAAAACATGTTGCAAAAGTAGATTCCCCTGGGCTAGAGAGTCACCGCCTTGGCAGGAACCCCTCATCAAAATGTCCTGCTTGGAAACACAAACTGTCCTAGGCATTGTCCTAAACAGTTGATTCTGGTTTCTTATGCCACATCTCTCCTCCTCGAGAGGCAGAGACAATGCTCTCTGAACTACGCTTAGACAAGGCATAAACCACATTGTATGTATTTAGGTTCTTTATTATTTTACTGCAAAGCTGGATTATTCAAATCCAGCTCCTATATCACAAGGAGAGGCAGGATGAATGTTCTCACATTTTGTACAAAGTTTTCATCACAAGCAATGGCATGCACATATTGAGGGTGGAATTTCATGAGAGCTGTGAATTACACAAGGAAATGAATGCTGCCTTTCAAGTGAGAAGAAACTCATGATGCTATCTGACCTAATGTTGCTGATACATGCCTTTTTACAGGCACTTGCTATCTATTTTGTTGCTATTGGTTAGTGTCTTGCTAATGAAATACAGCTGGTAGATGGTTTGATCAGTTTATGATGTGCTTACTTATAATTAAAATCAGGAAAACTTTCTGATGGATGTTCTACATTGACTGCTCTTAAGGGCTGCTTCAAGACACTGATGAGCTTTCTGTCTTGTGGCAAAACGGTTAAGGCACTGTTGGTGTCCTGAAATTTATTATGTGCGGCAGATTTGCCCAGGTCTCTGCCAGGCACCAAGTGTAAGTTTCCATCAGTATAAAGGCTCAGTTTGTTACCTCTGCTATGGAGAAGCTGTGTTCCCCAGTTTTGGGGACCAGCTGACATTTTGAAATAACTCTGACAGTGATACAAAAAGAAGGTTTTGGCTTGTCTTTCTCTTCCTAGAGGCATGGGAAGGGACAGCTTTATGAGAGAGTTTTCCTCATGCCAGTGTGGGTTTAGAAGCTGGAAAGAGTCATCCAGGAAATTACTGTATTTGTTACTGGCTGCAGTATTCATTTGTATTTAATGATATGCTGTTGAGCAGAAGGAACTGGACAAATCCAAGATGACTACAGACTGGGAGTTCTAGTTCTGTGCTTTCCTTGTATTCAAAATAGGTTTGAAAAAACTTCTTGCTTGGCTGTGTGACAAGACATTGTCCTCATTGCAGTGTTTTTCTTCATTTCTCTTCTAGTGCTTGCTCCTCAGAACCTGCAGCTACTGAACTCCACAGAGAACTCTCTGGCTGTCGGCTGGGATCCAATGATTGATGTAGATAATTACCTCATTAGCTATTATCCAGTGGGGTATGAGATGTTGGTGAAACAAGTCCACGTGCCCAAAGAGCAGCTCAGCTATGAGATTGTGGGTGTCCACCCTGGCACCACATACAATGTCACGCTTCATCATGTGAAGAAGGGGATTGCCAGTGAGCCCAAGTATCTAGAAGCAAGTACAGGTAGGAGCAGGAAGCATTTTTCTTCAGAGTCAGAAGCCGTAGATCTTTAAAGTTAGATTCAAACAAGTGGAGTGAATTGTTTGGCTTTGTAGGTTTGTAATGTCCTCTCTGAGTGCTGGAGAGCACTTTCTCTTCCCAGCCTCAGTTGCAGTTTTCTGTCATTGTTCTTTTCTGGAGACTCTGTTCCCAGATACATATCATTAGGACTGAATGTATTGCAATTTTCCCCTCTTTCACTTTATCTTGTCCAAATCCTACTTGCATTGACACACCTGAATTCCAGGGAATCTGTAATGTTGCCTGCTGCAAGAAGCAGGAATGGAAGCATGCACAATAAAGCCAGCATGTTATTAGAATAGTGCACTGTTTGACTGGATGCAGAAGGGACTTTAAAGTAGGCAGGATGTCATTCCTAGGTACTAATTTGCCACATATGTCTGCATCAGCGAGTTTTCCTCATAGTCTCTTCCCAGGACTGAATGAGCCTGATGCTACTGAGGTTAGGAGGTTGAGTGTGGAAAGACTGCATGTTTGAAGCAGTCTCTCGAGAACTGAAAGTTTGTTAGCAGCTGATATTATGCTATCTGTCTGCACTTGGCAAAAACAGTGAAAAGTTTGGTCATTTTGACATTTTTCTTGCTTCTAGCACAACAGGTGGGAGCTGAGAGCCAGACAACTCTTGAGTTGGAGTGTTACCATGGATAAAATGAAGCTTGTTGAAATAATGGTTGTACTGTACTTGCTTAACTCTTCAGTTTGGCTGATGAAAATGTCTTGGGTCTCAGAGCAGGTGACTGGGCAGGGAGGAGGAATGTTTAGCAACTTCCTATCTTACATCTACCTTTTCATGCTGATGCTGCTTCCTCACGGTCCTCTGCTGTCCTTCCCAGTCCTGTCTGCACTCAGTGCCATCTGGGTGACAGAAGAGATGGAGCACTCCCTGGAAGTGGAGTGGGAGAACCCACCAACAGATGTGGATTATTACAAGCTGAAGTTCAGATCCCTGGTGGGGATGGATGAGAAGCAGGTCATGGTGCCCAAAAGCAATGACCCTAAGAGCAGACACATCATGACTGGTGAGTACTTGTGGGTATTCCAAACTGGGCAGGGGCAGGGAGAAGTGGCAGGAGCAATTGATGGTCAGACCATAGACCTGAGAGGATTCTTCTCTCATGTGTGGATTGCCAGTTTTCCTTCACCTCCTACCTGCCGTAGGCCAGGGTGAGATCTATTGGGGTTCCCCTATCCCATAATGGTGGGTGTCTCCACAGGGAGAAAGCTTCTGTAGCCTGTGGATAGCAAGTTACAAGGTATATTTATTCAGCTTTAATTCTGTCCTTGTTAGGAATGAAGTATATTCTTCTGTTTCAGAGCTGGTAAGACTGATATTTTGGAAATCCCCGCTTACTGTAGTCAATGTATGCCCTAAGGGCAAGGCTGGACCAAGTGTTATCAAGGCATTCTCAAGACAAAAGGAAGTTAGATGGAAATCTAAACTTTAAGTTCCTCTCTGCTACAAACCTAGAACTGGATAGACTAAAAATAGCTTTCTTTAAGAAAAATTACGTCTTCCCTCATTGTTGGTGATGCTTCCTTTTGCTCTTTGTAGGCCTGAAACCTGGCACAGAGTACGAGGTCACTGTCATACCCATGAAAGATGATACAGAGGGAGAACCATCTTCAGTGAGTGGTAGGACTGGTACGTGGAAAGTTCCTTTTATGATAGTGATGTTACTACAGGGTTTGGGGACAGATCTGTCAAGATCGCAGCACAAAAGGTGCACTTCATGTATGACCTGCAACCAGGTCTGCTTATATCTTGTTTAAGCTTGTCTACACTGTATATTAAACACTAAACCTAGCCCTAGCTCAGACTTTTGCCTTGGTTTTAAACCTACAGTAACTTCACCCTTAACTTGACTAACGGCTCCAGCCAGACACAGGATAAGCATAGTAAGCTGGCCTCTGTATGTAATAACAACCCTCAAACGAGCTCAGAGCTACGTCCAGCAGTAACTCAAAGTTTGCTGGTTCATGACTTCCCTAACTAGGTCATTGACAGGATGACCTTGGTTAAACCTAGCACACATGATTTGTGGTCTGGATATGGCCCTTCCTTATGGATCTTCTGGGCAGCTGGTGCTGCTGATTTTTCTGATCTCTGAGCCCAGCAGCAATAAGGAAGAGGATAAGTTCTTCTTCCTTCCTGTATTGCCTGGCTCCACCATTATTTTGCTGTTCACCAGACTGAACAGAACAGTTGGACTGAGGAGCAGATTAGCACACCGTTGCCAGGCCTGCATTTCCACTGGGGACTATAGTCCCAGCCTGCTGTGTGGTCTGATACACCTGTGGAGGTGAAGCTGTGCTTGTCCAGTGGGCTGCACAGCCCCACAGCCCTGGCATTTCTGTAGTAGCTTGAGTCTTCACCTCTTATGTGCGAAATGACTGAAGAGGCTTCAGCTACTTGCTGACCCTTAGAGGTTGATGCTTTGGACTGCTTCATCTTGTAATGGAGCCTGAGTCAGATGTAGTAATCATGTCCAGCATGGGGAGAGCACAGAAGCATCTTTAAGCTGACTTCTGCTCCGACTGTGTGCTCAGTACAGCTCAGAAGGCCTGGCAGGTTCTATTGTTACTTGCCTTATTTTTCCTGTAACTGGCAGCCTAGCCATTCCAGACCTGAATATTAAAGCAGATCTGGAAACCCTGTTGGTTCATTAATGTTTCAAGCTCTTAAAAAAAACCAAACAAAAAACCCCAAACAAACAAACAAACAAAACCAAAAAAACCCCAACAGAATATTTTTGAGCTATTATGTTGCAAAAGAGAACTTGGAAAAATTTTGAACTCTCATTCTACCTGCAAGATTCTGGAAACTCTGAAATTTAGCTCTCTTACAAAAGCATAGGCATGCTGCATCCAAAGACTGAAAAATCCCAAATCAGGCCTGACATTCCTGATGTAATGTAAATCCTCTTGTAAATTATTCCTTTAAAAGAAAATTGATTTAAAACAACAAAACCTACAACCTCTGTACTGCCATTGTAAGGCTGCTCTTCTGACCTGTGTAGATTCTGATTATTTGGAACACCCTTGCCTTGTCTGTGAAGAACAGCTTGAAAACACATGGGGGCTGCAGAACTTCTTAAAAAGGAAAAAAAAAAAAAAAAAAGATGCACAATGACTAATCTTGCTCATATTCTTATGTAACCCCTGGAATTTAGGAGCTGCAACTAAGACAAATACGAGATATTGCAAGAGCTACCACTAAATTCTGATTCATCACCTAAAATAGCAGAAGCCTCGGGGGAGTCTGAGAGACAGGTCTGCAGGGTAGGCAGAAAGGGAAGAGCAACAAACGGCTGATACCAGAGGCAGAGAAAGGATGGGGACTATACTTGGTGCTGTGAGGAGGGCAAGTGAGAAGGTAATGCTCAAGTTGGTACCCATGGAAGGTGAAGCAGGTAGCCTGCAAGCTCTTCCTGCAGAAAAAAATGCAAGGTTTCATCTAAATGGTAGAACAGTCCTGCTTTCTCCCCACTCTGACCATGCTGGTTTCTCATGGATGCCTTTCTTTCTCGAGGGGCTGTAGGGGGGAACCTAGGTGACTGTGTTTTAACTGGCCGAAGCCACAAAGCAAAAATGAAGGAAATGTGCACATGTCGTGACAGGTATTGTAGTGGTTTAATTCAGCTGAAGTTTCCTCATTCTGCACTCTGACGTGTTCTCTCAGGAGTTGATAGTCCAACCAATGTGGCAACTGACCGAGTGACAGAAGATACAGCCACTGTCTCATGGAATAAAGTTGAGGCTCCCATAGACAGGTACATGGTGAGATACACCTCAGCTGATGGGGACATTAAGGAGATAGAGGTGGGGATTGAAAATGACATCATCACCTTACTGGATCTGAAGCCAGGCATGGAATATGTCATCCACATCTGGGCAGAGAAGGGACCCCAGAAGAGCAAGATGGCAAGCATCAGAGCTGTGACAGGTAAGTTGTAGCAGCAGCAGCAGAGGGAGCTGAGTTTGAATTTCAAACTCCTTCATCAATTTCACTTGTTTTAGTAAAGCTTCTCCTGTTTTGCATAGGTTTTTAGTGAGGCAAAACAGTCATGTCATTCTTCCTAGTGTGGCTGAACAGGTCTCCAGCTCAACTTGAAGACTTTGTTTTGAGTCCTGTTGTGGGCAGACCCTATGGCAAGGCACCAGTTACTATTGGTACAGAGAACAATGAAACACAACCAAAACTAAAGCCTCATAACTGGAACATGTAATTTGTGCCTTGCTTTTAAAATGTCATAAACCACCTCCAAGCTTTTCTTTGGATGACTGTTGTGGCCTTTCCCAACAGGACAGGGGGCTCACACATTTTGCACAGGTAGTCATGACAGAGTGTTTGTTAAAAAGGAAAAACAAATTTATTTGGATCATGGCATAAATTAAGAATCACATGGGGAATCAAATCTCCCAAATAGGACGTTTGGTCACTGTCCCTTGGTGACAGGGAGTCTCCATTGGGAGGGTGCTTGCAGCAGTGTCTGCAGCCGGATTGGGAAACTGCTTGAACTACTGTTTTGCTCAGTTCTTATAATCCAGCCAGCCATGGTCCAACATGGCTGTGTGTACAGGAGCAGTTTCTACTGACTATTTACAAATGTCTTATCTATGTGCAATCTGCACTTCTACAGCAGAAATTACCTAGGGGAGTGTTTGGGATGGTCCACTCAGGATGTTAACCACCAAACAAATTTAAGCGTGTAAATCGGACTAGACACAACGGGAGCTGCTTCAGGGAATTTGTAGGACTGTCTGAAGTTCTCACCCAGAGGGCATCAGTAAGGATCAGTCAAATGCTTAATTATGAAGCTCAGTCAATCACCTGCTTTCAAGTTGGTGCATTGTCTCAAGCCAGCCCATGTTCTTACTGAATCAGGTGACTGGCTGGGAAGCTCCTGGACCACCCAGGGAGTTAAGGAGTTAAATGCACTGCATATGCATACAGGCACAGCCCATACCCAGCTGCAGTGCAATTATAACTAAAGAGCAAACTTGATTTTCATATTACTTGATTTTCATATCACACAAGAAAATGATTCACTTGATTTTTTTTTTTTGCCACAGGTGAGCATCTGATACTGCTAATTAGCTGAGCTGTGATTATTCAAATGCACGTTCCCAGTGTGCACCACTCTAGGGTGACACAAATGAGCCTCAGCATCTTTCATTAAAATGAGAAGTAATGTATTTTCATCTCACAAAAGGGGTGAGATTAGTACACATGGGTGGAAAATCACAACTCTTACTGTAGCTAATGTGTGGTAAATCATAGTGCAGCTAAGCTGGTGTGTGGTAAATTACAGTGTGGCTGTTAGGTGGTTGTGCATTTGTACCCTGGAGTTTAGACCCTGCAGCAGAATAAGCCAGAATAAGAAATGCTGCTCCAATAATTTGAGAGGCGTCTGCAAGTCCTTCGTTGCTCAGGCTGCTAAGATGTATTTAGCAGTTCAGTGAAGGAAAAAACAAAACAAAACAAAAAAACGTGCTCTGTGTAAAGGTTACACGCTGTTGGGCTGTCCTCAAAGGGCCATGTTCCTGCAGGCTGTGTTGTGATAGTGACTTGAAGCTCATGAAATCTAGCATCATGTTTCCATCTGTGAAAAGGGCAGGGGAATGGTTGTAATAACAGGAGGAGATTGAAAGTGGCTTTTTTCTAGTGGAGAATGTGAACATAGTCCTTACTAGTGCTGTTGCCTGGTTCTTCACCTTGAAACCTTCTCTGAAAACATTGCCAGTCTAGTGTCCATGTAGTGGCCAGATGGCTGACAGAAGACATAGTCACAGTCTCTTGGGGGGGGTCTGGCCTCTGATAGACAGGTACTTGGTGAGATACAACACAACTGATGGGGACGCAAAGGGCATGGAGGTGGGGAAGGACAAGAACATCACTGCTCTGACAGGACTAAAGCCAAGCAAAAAGTATGCCACCGGTCTCTGGGCAGAAAGGGGAGCCCAGCAGACATCGAGCTGTGACAGGTAGGAAGTTTTGCTTTGGTAAGAAATAATCTTGTTCCAGGAGAGCTGCATTTCAGATGGAGATTCTGAGCAGGTGATTTGGATTTTGGGTTAATTCCCAGAGCAAGGCAAACTAATTCCTAAACCCAGGCAAGAGACTGTGATCTTCAGAAAGCAAAATACAGTAACACCATATTCTGCATGGGCTTTCCTCTCCGCCTGTGCAGGGTTGGCTGTGCTTTTGTCACTCCCCAACAAAAAGCCCGGTTGTTGCAGCTGTAAGGAGGAGACCTAGACCCCAGCTGAAATACCTCAGAATTGGGCACCTCCCAGCTTTGTAGTTCAGGCCCATCCTTGATAAGAAATAAAGGATGAGAAGTGGAAGAAATTGGCAGGGCCCTTGAGGGGAAGGAGTAAGTGTAGCCTCATTGGGACAACCAGTGTTCTTCAATCCTAACTGTTCCTACAGAAATGAGCAGCCCAGCTCACCCTGTGCAGGAGCAGAGGGCTGACTGGCCCTACCAAGGCTCGGCCACCTTGGCACTGACATGCAAGTTTGTTTACCAATGTGTCAAGAATGGCAGGACTTGCAAGCAGTTAGCACCTAGCACCTGCAAGCAGTTTTATCTACCTTGCCCTGTATCCAACAGTACAGAATGATTTGGCTCCACAAATGGTGATATCCAATGGGACTTGCTTAAGTGTCAGTTATTTACACTGCATGATTGTCCTGGTTTCAGCTGGGATAGAGTTAATTGTCTTCCTAGTAGCTGGTACAGTGCTATGTTTTGAGTTCAGTATGAGAAGAATGTTGATAACACTGATGGTTTCAGTTGTTGCTAAGTAGTGTTTAGACTAAAGTCAAGGATTTTTCAGCTTCTCATGCCCAGCCAGCTAGAAGGCTGGAGGGGCACAAGAAGTTGGCACAGGACACAGCCGGGGCACCTGACCCAAGCTGGCCAACAGGGTATTCCATACCATGGGACGTCATGTCCAGTATAGGAACTGGGAAGTGGCGGGGGGGGATCACCACTCAGGGACTAGCTGGGTGTCGGTCAGCAGGTGGTGAGCAATTGCTCTGCACATCATTTGTACATTCCAATCCTTTTATTATTACTGTTGTCATTTTATTAGTGTTATCATTATCATTATTAGTTTCTTCTTTTCTGTTCTATTAAACCGTTCTTATCTCAACCCAGGAGTTTTACTTCTTTTCCCGATTTTCTCCCCCATCCCACTGGGTGAGGGGGGGAGTGAGTGAGCAGCTGCGTGGTGCTTAGTTGCTGGCTGGGGGTAAACCACAACAATGATCAAAACACAATTTATAGCTAAAGGTAAAACTTCTATTAGATTTACCAGTTTGAGCTGGAGTAAAAACCAAGCAAGCTTTTGGACACGCAAGCCCTTTTTAGGTCTTTGGGCATAGAGTCATTTCCCAAAGCTCATCTGTTTTCTCAAATATATTTGATAGTCTAATAAAACATACTACCTCTGCCTATAAAACTTGTGTTGTCTGTGTCTTTAGACCATTGTGATTACCACAGCACTGTACTAAAACTTCTAATAATTATGACTTTTGATTACAGAAATTGACAGCCCAACTGAGCTGTTGACTGACCAGGTGACAGAGGATGCAATTACTGTTTCCTGGAACAAGGTCCAGGCTTCAATAGACAGATACAGAGTGAGCTACACCTCAGCTAATGGGGACACAGAGGAGATGGAAGTGGGAAAGAATGAGACTACGATGACTCTGACAGGACTGAAACCTGGCATTGAATATGTCATCTTCCTCTGGGCAGAGAAAGGAACCCGGCAAAGCAAGAGGCTCAGCACTGAGGCAGTGACAGGTATTCCAGAGAATCTTTGTGCTTCTACATGACACTGTTGTGGGAAGTCATCTCAATTTCTGTCCCATTTTCTTCTGGCCTGTTGCAGAGCATATACTAGACATTGGTTTGTCTTTCTGGTCACCTGTGGTGTGGGGACATCCATGCTACAGGCACCTTCAAGGTTCAGATAGAGATGGTGCTAAGCCTAGAGAACTTTTAGGAACTAATGACTGCTTTGTTAGTTCAGAAGCTATCAGCCTGGTCTGAGGTTCACAGCACTTTGCTAAAGCATTGTAGTCCTCACTTATCAGCTTTGCCTGCTCTTTTTGGTCTTCAGGTATGCTAAGCTTTGCAGATGTGGCTGAGCTCTGCCTCATAGCATACACTACTGCTGTTGAATCCTGCCTAAACTTAGAATGGTTCAACTAGTGTCACTGGTAAGAATAGTATTTATCAATGAATCAAGACTTGGAAGGAAACACCCCTATTTTAATCATCTCCCAAAACATGAAAGGGTAGCGAATGGTTTGAGCCTGGATAAAGTCTCTTAACTATCAGTAATGCCTTTTGTATAATTAAGGTTTTCGCTTACAGAAGTTGGCTGCTTAGCTAGGCTGAAGACTGATTGGCGGGGTACACTGCTAGCGCTTCCTGGGAATGAGGGAGGGATGGGACAGGACAGAGGTCTTGCTATCCTGATTAGTTTGGAGCCAGACGTGGTGTGCATTATTTGTATCTGGGCAGGGAAAAGAAGCAAGGAGAGCAAGAGGGCAGGCATACTCTCATGGGTGACCTGTGGAAATCTTGGAGTGTGATTTTTGTAGCTATGGAAAGAGGAATGTAGTTTCACATGGTGAATTAGCTGTGATTATGTTCTCCCTTGGCCGCTTCTTTTACTGAGGACTTCCTTCCTCAGTCATAATGTAGAGAAGCATTACACCTTGTTGGTACCTCACAGCTCAAAAAGAGGTATTTGTGGGAGAGGCTGATAAAGGGGAGCAGGGTGTTGGTGCTGCCTCAGTCTCTCACATCTTTTTCTTTGCCTCACTGTATCCGCGTCAGCTGGGACTCCAGGGCCATAGGTGGTCCCAAATAACTGATCTAATGGATCTGTCTTAAGGTTCATAAGATTTAGGTTTGACATAGCCTCAAATTTCAGTTGGACCTTCTTCTGCACAATCATTCTTCCCTGTATCTCTACTTGATATTTTAGTCCTGAGGCCTCAGTCTGAAGATGGCTGTGCCTCGGTGTCTTACCTTATCTTACTCCAGTTCTACATTGTCAACAGCACTCTGTATCCATTGGCCTTGCTAATGTACTTTTTCCTAGTTTATGAATCAAGCTGGTGTGAGATGAGCAGCTGAAGCTTAGATTTAGGGCAAGATGCCAGACAGCTCCCCAGTGCTTACAGAAGTTGAGGGCAGCTGGTGGGGACAAATGGAGATCTCTTGAGGCCAAAAGACTGAATCTGTCTGGAACTAGAAATGCAAGGAGAGTTTCAGCAAATTGAAATGTTTTTTTTTTGAACTGGAATGAAAATGGGGACACCTGGAAGTTTCACATGAAGTGAAAATGCTGGGAGAGGGAATGCATTTAGCATTAGTAGGAATATTTTTGAAATATCTGCACAAAAAAACCCCCACATACTTTTTGTGTGTGTGTGTGTGTTACATTTCCAAAAGTAATAACACTTCTGCTAAAATAATACAACTTCTGAGGGGGAGGAAACAACCAAAACAACCCCCAAAACCCAAAACATTTTCTTACTCAAGGTGATGGCTGATTATTCCTTAGCATTAAAACCGGCTGTAGCAGGGAGCTGTTCTGCGGTGGTCCGCTGCACCCGTGGGAACTGCTGACTGGCCTTTTCAGAGCAGTGCTGTGAAACTGTAGACTCTAAGGCTGCCCTTCCCGTCCCTTACTTCTCGTGATGGATTTGGTACCTTTTAGCTCCCTCTTCTGTCCAGCGGGAGGTATACATGTAGTGAGCTACTGTAAGTTTTCTGGGTCGTTTTACTTAAAATAAATTGTTTAGTGGTCTCGCAAATGACGCATGAATTCATTAGATAATGAACTAATGCTTAACTCACGACCCTAGCGAAAGGTGGTCTTCACTTATAGTGAATAGCCAGTGTTTTAAACAACATGCTGCGTGAACTTTGGTGTTACTGTCCCTGTTATTCTCCTTGTGTTTGGTGTTTTGATTTCTTCTTCTTTGCCTTTGTATCTATTTTAAGCGGTAACCCTACACAGGAGGAGTGCAGCGTTTCCTGGGAGAAACTACACTGCTCCACTCATTTATCTAAGATATAGCTTAGCCTTGTCTTTCTCTGTGGCCTTTTCGCAACTGTAATATTTCACTGATGCGTTATACTGTTGTTATGCTTATCCTCATAGTGCTCTTCAAGGTCTGGGAAGTGTTGTTGCCTGGTTAACGGACAATGACATGCCCATAGTCCCCCAGGGAGGTTTGTGGAAGAGCAGGGAATTGAGATGAATTATTCAGTTACAGCTTGCTATAAACTCAGATGTACTTCAGGGTTGGAGCACTCTTCCCCGAAGGCCAACACTGTCCACCAAGAACCTTCTCTCTAAAACTTGGAAAGCTGGACAAACCTTACTCCTTAAATTGTTTTCCTTAAGATGGTCCCAAAATATATGGAATATAGCAAGCACAGGATGAAAATTAGGGAGAGGCTGCTTCCATTGTTGTTACTTCCAACTGAGCTTCAGAAATTGCTTTTATCCTGAGGGAAGCACTGCAGCCCTATTGTGGGTATCTCATAAGATGCTTCTTGACAACTGCTGTGAACTGGCATTGCTTAAAAATAATTCTGCTCGTGCTGAACTTGAGTAGTCTGACCACACAGGAAAAGTCTGGCTAAGCCTTTGATGTCAGTGAAGGAGCTGGTGTCCCATATACAGTACAGACTAAACTGTAAAGCTGTGGATTTCTTTGTATTCCTGCATTTACTAAAGATGGCTGAAGCACGACAACAATAAAGCTTGTGAAGTCATTCTTCATCTGCAGTAGGGAAACAAGGTGTAGGGGCTCTCAGCAGGCCACACTAGGGCCATGGTCCAGGATTGAGGCGTAAAGCCCAAACCTGACCTATCCGTGAATGCTCCTCAGAGATGAGCCTGATGCAGATTTCTCAGGCAGATGTGTCAGGAGCTCCTGGGCTCTATACAGCTGACCCAATTGCAGGGCTTCACAAAACATCCCAAACCAGATCTGTAGCAGACCTTGCCGTGTTTGGTTTAGGCTTCTGCTGCTTGCAGGCTATGAAGGTCACTGGGTGACTTCTGTACTTCCCAGTTAACAGGATCAAGCATTGAAAGCTCAGCCCAAGCCCTGCACTGCAGTTGCATTTCATTTATGCAATGGGACTCGAATTTTCTTTTCCAATAGAGATTGATCCTCCCAAGAACCTCCGTGTATCAGATGTGACTCATTCTACTGGTGTGGTTACCTGGACTCCTCCTGCAGCACAGATTGATGGCTACACTCTGACCTACCAGGGTCAAGATGGCACAAGCAAGGTACAGTGAATTCCTCTATCCTGCAGACCCCATTGAAATCACCCCTATGATTATGGGCTCTGCCAATTTGTTCTTGTGGGTATATGGACCACAGAAAAACAATTGTGAGAGGGAATCTATAGTATCCGCAGCCCAGGGAGGGAGAGCTTAAGGAAGGAGATGTGCTACTGTCATGAGTGGAAGCTGTGGAGGGACTTTGTGACAGTGGAATGCCTCTTCCCAACAGGTCTCCAGGTGCAAGAACATGATTGCTTCTTCACTTCACTTTTCTAACTTGCTATTACCTGTAAAGGCAGCACTCACCAGCGATAGGGTGTCCTAACAGTGCTTCTTGAGACCTTGCCCCAAATATTCCTTCTGAGGAGATGGACTCCATGTTTCAAGGATATACAGTGAATGTGCCTGTCTAAAACTACACAAGAAAAGCCCGTAAATGCATATTGAGTATGAGGCACTGTGGTACAGAAAAGCTAAATGCTATTCAGAGTTGTGTGGACCTTTGATCTGTTCTATTTGGCAGGAAGTACAGCTTGGTCCTAGTGAACAACGGTTTGTGCTGGAAGGACTGGAACAAGGAGTGAGGTATACCATCTTTGTGATGGCCTATAAGGGAGATCGCCAGAGCAGAAAGACAGACAGTACCTTCTCAACAGGTAGGAACTGGCCTTAGGTGTTGCACTTTCACCTGTGCTCTGCAGCTGTTGTGCTTTATGGTAGAGGTCAGAGATGGAGTTCATGTTCTACAGATGCACTGGGAAACTATGTGATCATAAGCAAACCATCTAGCAAATCAATGATATGTCTCCTGGCTGGGTGTCCATCCTAAGACACACCATCTGGAGGCTTGGAATCACAGTGGGATAGTGTGAGGGGAGATTGCCCATGCTGGTCAGTGCTGCTGGCAAACTTTGCTAGCCAAGTGCAGGACAAAGCCTGCTGGTGAGCTGCCAGTGGGCAGGAGAGATGATGATATGCTAGAGATCTTTCTGCACCATCCTAGTAATGGTAGGGCACAGCTGTTTAAGTACTCTTGTGGCATTGGGTAGCTGCCCAGGTTGTTTTCAGAGGTCAGGAAATGCACACCAGAATGGCAGCAAATCAAACAAAATCTCAAGCCAGCTTGCTGTGGAAGCCTCTCGTACTGTGCCAGTGCCCACAGGGGTTGCCAGTTGTGGACAAATTGTGAAATGCAGAGAAATTAAAGTCCCTGTTTACTGTCCTTCCCACCTTCACAAACAAGCGCTCCTCTTTCTGCTCTCACTGTGATGCAAAACTACAACTGTTGCAGCCTCTGGGGACCCACCCCGTCCGTGTGCCAGCTCCCAGGCAGTGGGGAAGGCTGCCAGCAGCAACCTGCTGATGCAACTGGGCACTGTGTGAGCACACAGTGGGGGCTGCTGCTTTCTTTACTTCTCTTCCAGTACCATTGTCCTTAGGAGATTCTGAAGGGTGTGAAATGCCTCCTCCAGCGCTATGGCCTGCTTTGCTGATGTGTAGTTTTGCTGCCTCTTTTCTCACAGTTAGCTTCCTCTACCCGTATCCTGCGGACTGCAGCCAGATGCAGCAGAACGGAAATGCCTCCAGCGGCATGTACACCATTTACCTGAACGGGGATGGCAGCAGGCCAATGCAGGTGTACTGTGACATGACCACGGATGGAGGCGGGTGGATAGTGAGTGATTCTTGCTTCTTTTTGGTTTTTTTTACAAATGTAATCAAATGGACCTGGTACTGGTATTAGCTGAGGCTCCTTTTGCTCTACTGCACTACTGTGTTTCAGCTCCTGCCTTGATGGAGTGGCATGTTTTGGGAAGGGTAGTAGATGCTGATATACCCCCTCAGACTGTCGGTAGGAATGCTTTGGGAGGCTGAATGGCTCAAAGGCTTTTTCATTGTTTGGCTGTGAATGCCACACAGGCATATATTACTGCTGATTGAGGGCAATGACTGAGTTATGACAGCTTAATGGGTTACCTCTTGCTGGTTGGGACATGGGAGTTGTCTATGAGGGTGGATTCAGCTGTGTCATAAGATGAGGTAGTACAGCTTAGTTTAACTGCCTTTCATAATGAGTTAACTAAGCTATATTATCTCGACCACAGTATAAAGTTATATGTATAGATAGTTAATGCAGTTCAGCTGATGCCTGTTAGTCTTTTAAATACTAGTGCTGTGAGCATGCCCGTGGATCCTGACCACATGGTAGTTGTTGAGTGGCTCAAAGGAATCTGGAGGCAGAAGCACAGATGCTTTGAGGTAGGGAATGTGTATGAACATGAAGGAGTGAATCTGAGGTTCTCCGATAGCCATCTCCCTAAACAGCTGAATAAAAATATCTTTATTCCCTTTTTCACCTTTCATTTTCAGTGATAAGTGATTTTTCACCACTGAAATAAATAGTTGTGTGTTACTGCCCAAGTCCCTCTGATTTTGGTGAAGTTTAGAAACACAAATGTCTTGTGGATCTTGTCTCTAAGCCTGTTTTGTCCAAGTGTTTAGATCACACTCAGATTCGTGCTGTCCATAGGCATTTGTGGAAAGTAAACTGTAAAATTTGCACAACTAAGCATTCACCCCAGTGCTTCTGTGCAGTCAGAAAATGGAAATGGATTCCCGTGTGTACCCCGCTCAGGTGCGGTGTACCATCAGCTAGAGTTGTCTGTTCCTGAATGCTTCACCTTTTCGTCTGTGTTTGAATCAGGATGAACATTTCTCATCCCCATCCTCTTTGTCTCTCCTCAACCTGTCACAAACTCTCACTCAGCAATCCTTGCTTTGCAGGTGTTTCAAAGACGGAGCACTGGCGAGGTGGATTTCTACAAACGCTGGAAAAATTATGTGGAAGGCTTTGGAGATCCCACTGGGGAATTTTGGCTTGGTACAGTACATGGGTGTCACCAGTGAAGAGCTGTAGATTAGCTCTGCAGAAGCACGTAAATGCTGAAATATCCTGTGCCTGCCACCCCCCCCGCCCCGCAAGCCTGCAGTCTTGAACTGTCAGCTTTTGTGTCTTCCTTAGAAATGCCAGTGAAGCACTGAGGGATTTCTAGGGCCCACTAAATATTTCCACTGACATCTTTGGGCTTTGGAGCAGTCCCAGAGCAAGCCAAACTCTGGAAAGGTTTATTTCAGGTTTGTGTGTTCCTATGAGAGGGGAAATAAAGAAACTGCATTTGTGAAAATGCAAAGACCAGGATACTACACAAAACTTGGTGTACTCGGTCATTTTTTGTCTGTCTTGTTCTGTTAGTGAACTCTGTGTGGATCAGAGAATCCAGCACTAAATAGGTCAAGGCCTTTGGAGCAAGAGTCTTTAAATGTTCTGGGAAAAATAATGTTGCACTACAGCCAATCTTGTGCGGGTTTAGGGCTGTTTGTTTTTTCTGATACTGCTGTCTCTTTCCAGAAAATGAGATAAGACAGCATAAACTTGGCAAAATGTCATGACAACATCAAGCAGGGAGGGAGGCAGGAAATAGCTGATTTAACAAAAATGACCACAGGGTGAGAGTCTAGGACTGCAAAGGCGAACAGGCTTTTGCTTTTTAAGAGTAATTCTTTTTTTCTTCTAGGTCTTGACAAGCTGCACAATCTCACAAGCAGCAGCCCCATCCGCTATGAGCTCCGGGTGGATTTGCGGACAGCCGGTGAATCTGTCTATGCTGTCTATGACTTCTTCCAGGTTGCCTCGAGCAGGGACAGATACAGGCTGTCGGTGGGGAATTACAGAGGCAATGCTGGTGAGGAGTGCCTTGTACTTGTGCTGTCTCTGCTTAGCACAGGGAAGCAAATGCTGGGACCTGGGTATTTGTTTTGCCAGTAGCGTGGGAGGGAGCTCGTTGCGTCAGGTTAGATCAGATGTGGGAGTCTTTGAGGAGAGAAGTCTGTACTTCCTAGGAAGACTGAGGAGAGTGTGCCCACAGGCCTGTCTCCTGTTGAAGACAGGAGAAACAGTTGCTTTTTCATGGGGAAGAGAGGGCTCTGTAACCCAGTGAGACACCAGCCGAAAAGGCAGACTGGGAAGCATATCCATGAGGTAACCTGTGCTGATGGGGGAGCAACTTCTGGGGCTTCCCAGCTGAGAAGTGCAAAAAAGTGGCTTTTGTTTAGGATGGGACTTTGCTCAACAGCAGTAGCTATCCTGGTGCTGGTTTCTGCCACTGGTGAATTCTTACCATTGCCATTGTATCCATAGTCTTCCACTTATCCTTTAATATCCTCTTGCGGTAAGGTTTAGATCTTCTGCTGGGAGAATCCAGCCCTTGGGCATGCTCTCTAATAGCAGCCCTTTAGAAATTATTGTCCAGACCTATCCTGTGCTGTTGTTTTTCCCCTGACAGGTCTGCTGTGTTCTGCCTGAAGGGTGTATAAGCCTTCAGGCTGAGCAACTGTAGTATCTTACTCCTATTCGTGTCTTTCATCCCTTCCCTTAGGGGATGCAATGACTTACCACAATGGCTGGAAGTTCACAACGTGGGACAGAGACAATGATGTCGCTCTCAGCAACTGTGCTCTGACACACCATGGTGCATGGTGGTACAAGAACTGCCACCTGGCCAACCTCAATGGGAAATATGGGGACAGCAAGCACAGCGAGGTGAGTGTCAGAGCTCTGTGGTGGTTCGCTCTTCTCCCTAGCCTTGAGAAAACACGTGGGGGGATGTCTCTTGTTCAAGCAGGAGAGATTGCCCAGGCTATCCTAATTAATTTCATTTGAAAGGAAAATGATCCATAAGGAAACTTATAGCTCTTGCTCTGTACTCCCTGGATCCAGAGGACGTGAGCTCATGGCCCCCTGATTCTTGTGGGCAGAGATACTTGAGGTGGAGCTGTCTTGATTTCTGAGGGGAACACATAAAAGAACACTCACTAGGAGCCACGCTAGGATGCTGGCTCACTGTCTCATGTAGTCTATACTTTGGCTTTCAGTGCATGCCTTGGCATGCATCTCATTGTACAGGCTTATTTTGGGCTTGAAGATGGCTCTGTCCTGTTGTGTTCCAAACTGGATAGAGATTTGATTTATATTAGGAGTGTCTAGAAGACTGACTATAATTACAGTCAAAATCTGGTGAACAATAGCATCTCTGTTTATTGGAGGGTTAAATGGTATTAGAGGGGGGCAGTGGTAGACTTCTAACACCTGGTCTGGGTGCTTTAGTAAAAGAAATTCCTTGGTCTCTTCCCAGGGTGTGAACTGGGAGCCATGGAAAGGCCATGAATTCTCCATCCCTTTTACCGAGATGAAGATCCGTCCTCAGTCTCCCAGTAATGAGCCAATCCTGGAGAGGAAGAAGAGGTCTCTACCAGGGAAGAGGAAGGAGATTAGGTTTTAAATTGAATGTTGTGCAGTACCCAAAGATAATGATTCAGTATTTCTTAACAAAGTCAGATTCAGATAGCTTTCTCCAATACATTGGAGACAATTGCTGACCAACGTGCACCCGGGGACCTCTGGATCTGCAGCCCAGCCTGCTTCCAGCCTTTGGAGCTCCTGATGGGTGATCTGTCAGAGACTGGGAGGGGGCTTGTGGGGAGCATCCCATTTGTAGCTCCCCTGGTTGGCTAAACATGACAAGGACCTGCTTGATCCAATGTGTGCAACTTCTATGAATTTTACATAAACCAAGCTTTAACACATGCTGTTCTTTCTGAAAACCCAGGCTCCTGACTCCTCTTAATTCTGTCCTCTGGTGTCATCCACTTCAGACTTCAAAAAATTAAATTTGAACCCATTAAAATATAATAGTCTAACTTACATGAGAGAGTTTTCCTGAGATGATCCCCTCTCCATGTCCTGGTCTGTGGTCCTCTTTTCCTTTCCCCTCATCATTTGGGGCACATACCCTACTCTTCCTGCAGTCAAAGAGCTGGGTTTTGGGAAATGTCAGGCTGCTGGCAAGGCTTGTTAATCCAGATGAGGTCTGTAGTCTGGGTTCCTCAACCTCCAGTATTGCATCTCTCCAGGTTAAAATCCTGCTCTCTATTTTGCTTGTCTCTTCTTGTCTCCCACCCTGAAGAAAAGCCTGAGGAGACATGCAATAAATTAATGTTCACACTCCTGGGTGAGGCCCAGAACAGGGTGAGTGTAAGGGCTGTACTCCTCCAAGCTCTGCCCCCCCATCTCAAACCTGCCTCTTGCATACTCCTTGTCTAAGAGGCTGCTTACAGACCATAAAAATAATTCTCTATCTGATTGTCCCATCTGACACCTTCTGCTTTTTCATTAGCAGTGTGGTAGCTAGTGATGCTGAAGTGATAATGCTTATCATCTGCCTCTAAAACGAGCATCTCAGAGTTAAACTGATCCTGCATGCCTTCCCTCGGGCCCCAGTGCATGTTTTCACATTTGGCTGCTTGTTTTCCTCACAGCCATAAAGGTGAGTTTTATTTTCTTTCCCTGAGCAGATATTAAAATTCTGGACTACCAGCTACAGCCGAGGAAGAAGTATGATCTCACCAAATGATGCTTGCTCAAAGGCTTCCTTGTCTGAGCAGATTGGAACGTGATTGTCTTATGTCTTAATGGCCTTTCCTATCCTAATGCTAAGCTGAGTAATACATTTTAAAGAATCCTTCCCAGGCTTTGGGGGAAGTAATAAAATTGCAAATAAAGCAGCTCTTAAAATATTTCTGTCTTCTTTGCTTTGGGTGGCAGAATTATTTTTCTTCCTATTTAAACTAAGCCTTCCTTATGGAGATGGAGCAATACCCAGGCCCAGACCAGGGCTGTGAAAATTAGATCTTTGGAGTCTGCTCCAAAACAGGGATGGGGACTATATGATCTCTTTGTGACTTAATACTGCAAAGCAATTAATTGATCTATAATTGCTAGGACCTGGCTGAGGAGACCTAACTAGAGAGTCATCTCGAAGGCGAGTACTAAATTCTTCATAGTACTTTCAGGACTGTGCCTCTTGCATGGGTGGGCAGGCAAAGACTCATCTGAGCTGCTTTAAGATATCCAAGCCCTGGGTTGGGGGAAGGAGGAGAGGGAAGGAAAATTGCACTTGAAGTGTTTTGCAGGCTCTGTGCTAAGAGCATGAGAGAAGGACACAGGAAAACTACGAGGGTGATGAAGTGATTTCTCCCTGTTGCCCACTTGTCTGTAGGTAAGGACAGGTTTCACTATGTTGTTCAGTTGAAGGGCACAGTGTAGACATGAGGAAGGTGACTGAGGGGGACCGGAGGACTAGCCTCCCACATGGCCCCTCTAAAAGTAAGCATATGCTCTAAAAAGCAGCAGGCGTGATTGCTGCCAGCAGCTCTTTCCTGTGCAGAGGCAAAACATGGTTCTCTTCTACAGCTGAATCTTACTCGAGAGTAGAGAATATTCTCTTGAGCGGTATGAGCTTTGTATTTCAGAGATAAAGGCAAATGAGACACGTTATTTGCAGTTTCTGAGGAGGGTTTACTTGTCCCTCCTAATGACATGCCCCTCTTTCACCATGAAGGGCAGTCAAAGTGGTGGCTGCTGGAAAACCGCTGTGGGAAGTCAGTATTTCCGAACAGCCACAGGATGGCATCATCTCTTCATGCTACTAGTGCAGGAGAAACGTCCCTGTATCCAGCTGGCCCCTGTGGAAAGACTTTCTGGGGGTTAACCAGAGTCTGTGCTACAGCTTTAGAAGTTGGGACTGCTCAGATGATGCAGTTTGTTTGCCTTAAGGAAATGTCTGTTCTGTTTTCAAGGCTCAGGCTGCTTGGGGTAGTCCCATAAAAATTTCACATCCTCTTACTACCTGTGTTTTGCTGCAATACCCAGCTCTGTAATGGTGATACTGTAGGGCCAAAACAGATTTTTGAAACCTCTGCCCTGAGATCACTTAAATTTTATAGCCAGTGAGGTTTGCAACATGCCCAGGAGCAGAATTTGAATCCCAGAAGGATCCTTTCTGCCTCGGCATTACTATGTCGATGGGGGCTGTCCTGTGGCTGGGCCCCAGAAGCCGGGACCTATCTGTTGTGATACATCTAGGGTGCAGCACAGCCAGTGCTCCTGTGGGGGACCCCAGTGAAATGCCACTGCAGGGGAAGAGGTGGTGGATTCTTCAGCCACCTCCCCACTGTCCCAGCACTGACCCAGGAGGAGGAGGGAGAAGGCATGCCTCATCCCAAAGATGCTGCTCTCTGGTGTAATTTGAAGAGAAGACAGAGTGCCTTACTGCACTGGGCACTTTCTTGGAAAGCAGCAGTGTTACTGCTGGTCAGGGCTCTAGGCTTTGTTGGCTCAATAAATAGAGGAAGTCAGTGAAGGTCCCATTCTCCCCTCCTAGTGGGGTTCCATGAGCCTGTGGGGGCAATTTTTGTATCCCCCTCAATCCCTGGACTGCTTCAGGATGCTCAACTTGGCTTCAACCCCTGCCTGTTTCTAACCTGGGACCCAGCAACCTCCCCTTCCCTCCGCAGCCCATGCTACCGATGGGCACCTGGCCCTTAATATGTTGTGCAGGGCTGCCGTGTGAAGAGAAGCAAGGTGTGCACTGCTCCTTCCTTCCCCCCAAAAGTCTGTCTCTGCCACTTCTAGCCACTCATCGCTGCCGTCCTGCACATCTCCTACTGTCAGTCTGCTCCAGCAGCTTTGTCGGCAGGGTGCAGCTTGGTGCATTGTCCAGCTGGGAGGCAGATTTATTTTTGGCCTTGTGGAGGGAGAGCTCAGCAGTGCACAATTTGGAAAGGCTCTGCCCAACAGAGGTGCGTGCCTGGTCCTATGACTTGCCCAAGGCAGACGGCTGCGAGAAGCTGCAGACACTGTGAAATACTTATGCTGCTGACCCTCTGCAAGGATAAAAAAAACAAACCCTCTGCAGCCCACCTCCTGCAGTGTACAAACACTGCTTTTCTTCTTCCCACTACTTTTTGCCCTTGGGGAAAGGAGCTTGGTTGTGTTCATTAACAAGGCAAGGCCATTAAACTTGATTAAGCTAAGCTGTTTCTTTAAGAAAATGTCTCTGGGCTGCACAGCCTCTGCCCGCTGAGCTCTCACCATGTCTTATCTAGGGCCAGGACACAGATACAAGAAAGATTTCCCCAGGAAAACAAACACATGACTGAGATCTAGAGACACATTTGTTTGCAGTTTGAGAGTCATTTATTTTTGGTTAAAAAAAAAGGCAAAAAGTTTGTTGGTTTTTTTGGCCGTCGCCCCCCCCCGGCCTTGCATGGACTGTTTAGGAAAATAAAAGGTAGATACTGAAATGCAGTTGTGGGGAGGCAGTGCAGAGGTGTCTGGAGCGCGGGGACTCACACAGCAGTGTTTCTCTACCATGCATCTCCTGCCACCTTCTTAGCGTGGGTGCTGCAGGGTTGCTGCTGCCTGGCTGATGGGTGACAGGTTCTGGTGTACCTTGGGTTGTCACTGCTCTTTTGCTTTGGTGTCAAGAAGCAGCTGATTCAGTGCATGGTTTGCCTAAAACAGCAGTGCTCGAGCAAAGTCAGCCATGGGGCTGCCATGCCTTACGGGGTGCAGAGACATGGACCATCCGCTGGTCGGATGGATCAGGGCAGGGTTGTATCCTGGTCCCTCCCTGTCCAGCCCAGGGGTGGTTTGAATGATGATTTTGGGGAGATCTTGAAATTCAGACCTGGTTCTGAACTCCCTAAAGCCTGGATCGGAGATGCTGTGTGTGACACAACACAGACATTTTCTTGACAGTTCTCTGGTTCTTGTAGGAATCGGCTGCCCTTGTCTGAAACATTACTTGCTAACCCTTGCAGCGAAAGACCTTCTTGCAGGGAGCCCCGCAAAGCCCAGCAGCTCCACAATAAGTAGGCTGTACTCTGCCAGAGCCGGCTGCCTCCATGCCCCTGCTTGTTCGGGTAAGCCTCTGGCCTCCCATTGCGTTACCCTTTGCTCTGATTTTTTTCCATTCCTCCAGGCAGCACCACCCTTCCTCCGGGGCTGCTGGTGCCTCTGGATTGCAGCAGGAGCACCTGCGTGGGCAGCTTTCCTGCCCGTGGGAGGAGACTACTTTGCCCACCTGGTGAGCATGGAGGCAGGAGGGCTGGGAAAAGTACCTGCATGGGGGAAAGGAAGGAAGGAAGAGAGAATAATACAAGTGCAGTGCTGGTTCTTTGGGGTCCTGGACGGACTGAGGGTTTGGGACAGAGACCAGAGCTATTCTCGCATGTTTCTCTCGAGGATTAGGTGTGTCAAATCCTTATTTTTTTATAGCATTCTATGGTGCTTTCTGTTTTGGAGGAGAAGGGAGTCACTTATTTCAATGCTAACAAAGCAAGCTGGAAAATAAGGTACATATGGGGTCAATTTAAAGGGCTGTGCGAGGAGGAGCCTGGCCTCTCGGCTGTTACCAGCACAGCTGCACGCAGCCAAACCCCGTGACGTGATGTTATAACATCATCGCCCCGTCCGCGTTGGACAAAACAGGCTGTGCTGGGACCAGGTGGCACAAGTGGCTGCTTCTAACCAATGGCTTTGCCCCCCCCCGCCAGTGCGTGCCCCGGGAGCCAGGGGAAGGCAGCACTGCCCTTGCCTGGGCTGGAAGCGGTTGTGTCCAGCAGCTCTGTCCAGGCTTGCCCACATGGGTTTGGCTGCTTGTCCCCCAGATGTCTGGCTCTGGCTGGCAGCTCCAGTCTGCTCCAGCAGCTTAAGAACTGGAAGAACACAGGAGGAAAACATCCAGTGTACAGACACAAGGCAAAAACCAGATGTGATGGGGCTTCTCACAACACGTGTGTATCCCTTGCTGGCAAAACAAGCTGGGGGAGACAGAGCCTTGCGGGGTGGGGGGGCAGAGGAGACCCCCAGCTCCTGAGGAGGTAGGCTGGGCACGCAGGCCTAGGGAGAGCAGAGGGTCAAAACCAGAGTACGGGTGAGAGCTGTGTGTGGTCTCATTAGCTGCTGTGCCCGGCCGAGCCGTCGCGTGGCCAAGGGAGATGAGGATGGACAGGGTTGCAGGGTCCAGCTGTACGATGCATCCCTGGGTAAGGGATGACTGTGGGCATGAACTTTACTCCCCTCTGCTCCTACAGCACATCCCAAATCCTAGAGTTGTCTGGTTTGACAGCCACACAACAAGCCCTCTGTGTGGCATACGGAGCTGCCCACGTGGCACCAGCTGGCGGTGGGTGCTGGTGGGTCTGCGTATGCACAAGGGCTGCAGGGAGAGGGGACGGCCGAGTGTGCTGGGAAAGCATGTCTGCTGCTTCAATACTGCTTCGGTGTGCCTAGCCCCACAACAGAGGGGCCTTTGGTCCTGCTCTTCTTTAGTAGTCATTCAATAAATAACTCTAATGCCCATAGCTAAGCCTTTACACAGCCTCAGCTTGTGTTTCTGCTCTTGCAGTAGCGTGGTGGGCTCTCTAAAGGCAAGTCTGTATAAAACAGTCTTTCAAGGAAGATTTTTTTTTTGTAAGTAAGTGCTGGTGCAAAAGGGCTGGTCTTGCAGCCTCCTCTCTCCTCCCTGCCTCTAGCCTGGGTGGCAAAGCATCCTTCTGCTTCGCTGCCTTAAGATGGTGTCTTGAGGTCTCTAAGGTTGGGCTGAGGGCATCTAGCTTCAGATGCTCTCAGTTGCCTTTGGTTTGGTGGCCGGGGAGATGGCACATCTTTGAGCTGTGGGGTTACCCTGCTCTCGGCTTTTTTTGCATCTCCAGTGTGAGCTGGGTTTGGATGGAGCCTAGACAGTCAAGCTGTGCCATCTCCATGGCAGGGCAAGCAAACGAGGCACGCCTGAGCTTGATTCACGTGCAGACGTCCGTGTTTGTGCAGGGGGAGCGTGCAGGCAGCTTGGTCTTTTGAGTGCATGTGGTCCTGCACACCCTTGTCTGCGCCATGGTGCCTGTGCTCGCACACAAGTGCAGAGGGAGAGCCTTGCACCCAGTTCGCTGCGTGCCAGCCCGGTGCGTGTGCGTTGTGCTCATGGCGGGAGGTATGTACAGCCTGGTGGCAGGTCACCCTTGCGTGCTCAGCAGGGCATGTGTCCGTGTGAATGCCCGTCCTTTGCAGGGGTTTCTGCCCTTGGGCACACCGTCATGGTGGAAGGGAAGGGGCTTGCATAAACCTGTGCCCGACTGCCTTGCCCTCTGCTGGCCTTTCAACACGCTGGTTAGCTGCTGGGATCAGCCTATTTTGAAAGTCACCATAAAGTAGCAGCTTTGGCATCTCCTCACCCCTCGTGCAGAGCTGAAAAGACTGGCAGCATCTCAGAGGGGAGGGCCTGAACGCCCTCCTGTCCACTAGATGGGCAAGGAGGGTCTCTTGTCCAGCAAGAGCAGCTTGGGCTGAGCCGAAATCCACAGGTCCTCTTCATCCTTCTTCTTCTTCTTCTTTTTCTTCTTGTTTTTCTCGGCATGCAGCTGCCCGTTGCTGCTGGGGCCACCTTTCTTCCTGCTTTCTCCCCTCCGGCTGCAGAAGCAGCAGTGGCAGCAGATGAAAATGAATGCAATGAGGACGACGAAAGGCAGACCCATCAGCACGGCCAGGCAGACGGTGTTGAAGACACCTTCCTCATGCTTGGTACGGATGAGCTCCAAGATGGAATTAAAGAAAGAGCTGATCTTCTGTTCCATGTCAGCTCCCGGGCAGGTTGCCTATGCTGCTCCCTTCGCTTGAAGGCCCTTTGGGATATGTTCAGCTCCTGCAAGCAGCTAGTGGGCTCCACAAACGTCCTTGGATGGTGCCTGCAGAGACAAGACCACATGGATCAGGTGCCTGCTCCCTCAGCAATTTCCTCCACGGAGCTGCCAGCACAGCCAAAGCCGCAGCAGGGTGAGAAGTCTGCTGCCACAGGGGGCCAGCCATGCTACTGGCCACATCCCTTTGGGTGTCCCCATCTGAGAAACGCAGTCTCCTAACCTCTCCTGGGGTTCGTTCCTGGTGGTGGGGATGGGCAAGGAGGGCTTTGGTTAGGCATCCCTACTTGCCTTGGCATCTGGCTGAGCACAAATGCTGTCCCCCTGGACATACATCTCAACCCTTGCTTGGCAACCAGACTGTGGAACCTTTACAGCCCTTTGTAGGGTTTATTTCTTGGTGGACGAGGAATCCTCTGCAGTAGGAGCTTTCCTGTCTACGAAGGGACTTGCCTGGTGTGGGCAAGGGACCACCACAGAGAGTGGTAATGCTGCCATCAGAGCCAGGACTCAACACGTCATGGGTCTCTCCTTAGCCCCGATCCACCCTGGGACAGGGTGTCTGGTTTGGACAGTTTCTCATGGTCTGTGGTCTGGGACGGGCAGCCGAGCTGCTGTGGGCAGGGCACTGCCCGGTGTCCGGGAAGCACAGAGGCAAGGTGTGCCTGTCCCGGGCACTGCGCTGGGGTCTGGTCCTGCTGCTCTGGCCACCGCCGGCAGGTTTAGGGTGGGGGCTGCGGTTAAACCACCTGGATTTTTTATGGGAGCTACAGTCAGTGGGACTCGCAGGCAGTGGTGAGGTGGGTGGATGTCGGCAAAGCAGCCTTGCACACAGGGCTGTCTCTGTGCACCCGGGGCTGGCTGCAAAGGCGGTGCGGGGGGAGGATGAGGGTTGGCTGGGGATGGAGGAGCCATCGCCGTGCCTCACCTGGGAATTGCTCCAAGGGTTTGGGTAGGGCTGAGAAGCATTTCTGTGGTCTGACGTAAGGTCTTCCCCTCCCTCAGGGAGGGAGAGGTGCTGCTGAGAGGCAGGGCTCCGAGGGAAGCCCTCCTGCAGGGGAAGGGAGCTGCTGCCTCTGCTGGGGCCAGGCAATTCTCCCAGGGGTTTTGAATAGGGCAGGGGGCTTTGTGCCATGAGTTTGCAGTTCTGGTTCAACGTGGGGGTCACTAAATTTTGGGTTGTACAGATGAAGAGCTGGCAGGGGCAATATCAGGCTCTAATACCATGTTTCACCCTCGCTTGGCATTTCATACCAGTGTCTTTGCCAGCCTTTGGGATTCAAGCCCCGCAGCCTCTTGAGGGAATGCTGAAGTCCCCGTGTGCACAGGAGGGGAAACTGAAGCACATTAAAAGGAAAGCCAACACTTCCACCTAACAAAAACTTGAGAGGTACAGCCTGAACTCCAAAGGTGTCCCAGAGGGGTTGCTCCACTCATTCCCTGTGACCACCGACTTGTTGGTTCTCCCTCTGGTAGCTCTCGCAGAGCCTGGGCATCTCTAGGGAGGAATGGGAAGGGGACCCAGGCTGGGTTCAGATAAAGCCTCCTTGTCTAAAGCGCTACTGTTCCTTGCTCTGAATTGCATTTATTGCTGTCGTGGCACCTGCTAAGGGACGCTCTCTTGTACCGAACGTTTTGGGATGCGCCAGTTCACCCAGTTGGCACCACCGCGCATCCTCCCGCCTTGCTTTGCAATTACACCCTACCTCCTAACAAACAACAAAGCTACCAGCCTTGCCCAAAAAAGAAACCACGAGTCCTGCCTAACCACAGCCCTCGTGCTGCTGCTGAGGCACAAGCTGGTGGGCATCCCCCAAAAAGGCGGCTCCCAAGGGAAAAACCTGCCTTTGGGAACACAGTCCTGGGACCTTCAAAGCTGTACGGGGTCTTGTTTCACCAGGCACCCCTGGCCACTGGCTTTTGGACCCAACTGCCAGGACCCCAAGAGCCGAATCCTTCAGTGCAGATGCTGAGCTCTCAATTTGGGACTTCACAAATGCTCAGATCCTATTAAAAAGAAGGGGTTTACCCTCCCTGCCCCTCACAGAAATAGACTGACCGCTGCGAATTTATTGTTTTGATCTGCACGAAAGCATAGCTGAGCGAGCACCAATTAGCTGGTGGTTTCTCTTTTGGACATACACATGGGAAATGTGATGAAAATGCGCGTATGAATTTCTGGGGGTGACTTTCTGAAAAACTCTCATTTGAGATTTACCAAATGAGACACAGTGCTCTGGGAGATGCTTTGGGCTTTGGCTAAACGAAGACATTAGTAGCTAATGTTTTATTGCTGGATTTTTGTCCAGTCTGCTGCATCTTCCAGTTTCTGCTTTGCTAGAAGGGGAATTAAAAAAAAATAATATATATGGCGGGGTTTGGTTTTTTTGGCAGGTAGACAAGCAGGATGGTGGGGATGCCAGGCATGCACCCAGGAGGGAGGGATGGCACTGCAAGAGGCAGAAGAGCCTTTTCCACCCCACTGCTGCTGCAGAGCAGCTTCTCAGCCTCTGAAAACCAGCTGCTCCCTGCATTGCCTCATTCCCCTGCCCAGCAGAGGCTGGTGATATCACCGCCGTCCCCACCTGAGAAATCACGGGCTACCACCAAGGGGTCACAGACTGAAATCCCATCCATCCTCTTCCTACCCCTTGCCTGGAGCCAGCGGCGAGTGTTACAGATCTGCTTTTGCTCACAGGGGAGATACGCAAGGGCTCTGGGTGCTGGTATCTGCTGCCCGCAGGCATTACAAGCAAAGGGGAAAGTGGAGAGAGCTGCTGCTTAGAACTGCTCCCTGTCCCAACCTTCATCCTTGCTGAGGCCTTTTTTCGGGACAGCTGTAACAAAGGTTAAATTGCAACACAAATAAACAGAGCAGCTTTTCCTCTGCCTGAATCATCTGTGTGATGCAGGTTTGCCATTTATCCATAAATATCCTGACAGCTCATTATCCAGGCAGGAACACTGGACGCCTATGATACACTTCACTCCAAAAAAGAAGTAAAAAAACCAACCCCAAAACAACCACCGCCTTAATTTCAGACAAAACAGGATGTACAATTTTATTCCTGCGCTGAGCTGCTTTATATTTATTGCCTCTAAACGTCAGGGGAGGGGAGGAGGGCTGGAACTTCCTTTTAAACTTGTAATTAATTGTTTACAGAGAAAGAAAAGAAAGAAAGAACAAAAAAAGTAGCAGAGCCTTTTGAAATGTTTCCACTTTAAACTGAATGCGCTGCAGAGGCCCTCACTGCTTGTACCCTGGAAGTGCCCAGCTAGGGATGTGCGGCCGCCCTGGGCAAGCCCAGAGCAGCAGGAATGTGGCCAAGCATCCCTTGTAAGGGAAGGCAGAGGTACCTGCCACCACCCTCAGCAAGCAGCGCCAAAATCCCAGGGCCATCTTTCAGCATGGCTATGCAGCTGGTTTTCAAATGCCTTTTCTTTTTGGTGCGTGTATCGCCTTTTGTTTTGTAGATGAACGGATGTCTGTGCGCTAAATAAAGGGGTTCTTCAGTTTACTATAAAAAAAAAAAACAACCAAAAACAAACGGGGAGGGGCAAGTAGAAAAACTCGTGCTTTTTGAGCTGGCAACTCCAAAGGCAGAGGGGTTACCCAAGGCCACCCATTGCCAGCTGAAAGCCTGTGTACGCAGCGAGGAGCTGCATTTAGGAAAAATTTGTGCTGCTGCTCAATTTGGTGTGACAGCAACATCTCCCCTTAGCGAGGGGACGAAGGGGGAGAGCTGTGCCAGGATCCACCACGGGTGTGAACTGGGTGCCCAATGCACATGGGAGCTGCAGCTGGGAGGTCGGCTGGTTTTTTGGGTCAAGGTATGGGACCAAAAAACGGGGCCAGGGAGGCACTGGGAGACAGGGCAGCATCTCAGGGAGAGAGCTGCTAATTGCCCTGCTAAATGAGCTCTTTGGTTTTGGATAGCCGGTGCTGGCAGCGGGTCAGGGGAAAGCTGACATGGTAACTTGCTTGGGAAATCCTGCTGCCAGGGATGGATGGCAGCTCTGCACGGCTTTTGTAAGTTTTAATCGAAGTTGGGCATCCGACATGAGGTTCTCTAATCCATACTGGCTCTGAAGGAGCCGGTTTTTTCAAGGGTGGGGAGCATCCACCACTCCTCTAGAGTTACGGGCGGCCGTGGGTGGAAAACAAGCTCCTTTTGAGGGCCAGCTTGGGATGGCACCACAAACCATCGGCGTGCACAGCTTGCCTGGCTGAGCTGGAGGGGTAAAGGCTGCCAGCATGAGCATGGGGAAATCAAAACAGAGGGGTTGCCTTGGCAATGCTGGCTTGCCCACATCCTGTGCACTGCAGAGCAACCGCAGCGGCTGGGGATGGAGGTAGAGTTTGCAGAAAAAGTTGCAGTTTGCTGGAAACAGGGGGCAAAGGGCTGGAAGCTGCTACACAGGGTCACGGTGGCAGAAGGGAGAGAGCTGAACGTGTTTTAGGACCTGATTTTGCAAGTCCTTTAAGGCTCAACCCTCGACAGGCTCTTACGTCCGTGTGAAGTTCCCTCCAGCCTAACAAAGCTCAACCCACTCCTCTCGGCTGACACGCAGCTCAGCTCAGGCAGGAGCAGGGCTGCTCTAAGGTGCTTATCCCCGCATCCACACTGAGAGCAGGGGCAGCTCAGGAGGACAACTGACCTACAGCCCATGACCTGTGGGGTTTGGCCCCAAGTACTTCTGGTTATTTGAACTCCCCCGCACTCGGTGTCTGGCTGCAACTCAGGACTGGTCAAGGTGACATGAAAGGGTCTGACCTGCTGCCACCCTCATTTCCTTAACGCAGATGAGACCTCACTTCTGGGGAGACCTCACGTCATGCAGTTGATGCTAAGTGGTGCAAAGCAGGAATCATAATATTAAACTTGACCATTTCCTTCTGTTATTGGCTTTATAACAGCTTTATACCCACTTTCCTCTGGCAGCGATAGCTATGGGTCAGGCTAAGAGAGGCTAACTTCTCTGACAGAGCCTGCAAGCTCTCTGATACGATACAACTAGCAGAGACACAACTACGCACACACACACGA